TTTGTTTCGTCTTGTTTGCTTATTTCTTTTGCTGTTTTTTTTGTTTTGTTTTTAAATATATACTTAAATAACTGTTACTAAAGTGCAATAAACATCAAGAAAAGTATTGTGTTTCCAGAACAAGGATAGTATATTTATAATATGAATTTCTATCATTTTCTAAAATCACCGTGGGAAAACCAGAGGTGATAACTAATTGATTATTTTCTAAACAACGTACCCACGAGTTGACGATAGTCTTTCTTTGATTAAAATTATTTCAGTACGACCAGCTTCCCTATTGTCCAGAAAAAATCTTCTAGTGGAAGGAAAAGAATTTTTCTGTTCGTGGAAAGTGTCCAAATTTCTCCATCCAGCTTCGTTTGCAAACGCGAGGAAAGTTAAAAATTAATGCAGTCTGAGACGGACTCCGACATCGAAAACCGATCTTCTATTTTTTCTCACGAATGGAAGGCTTTCGGCGGGAACAATGTACGTTAGGTTTCTTATAAACCTAAAAGCTATCTATGAACAAAGATGAAAGAACTTGATTTTTCAACTCTTGCCACGAAATTATCATTTTGGTTTCGCACGTCTCAAGCTCGCAACTTAGGAAACAAAATGCAAGATTCGATTCATCTCTGAATATTATCAATTATATCACGATCACGTAACCCACAGTTCGACACAGTCTCATAAAGAAACACTTCTCACACGGTTTGGAATACAAATATAGGTAACAAGAAACTGTTAAGTCAATCGTACAAACATCTCATGCAGAAAAAATTAATTAAAGCAGAAGGGAGCGTGACCTTCGAAAACATCTTTTCTTCAATAGACGAAGAACCTTTTTGGCTGTGCGGACAAGGCTGGTCGACAATGAGCCTTCGTGGTTTTTTGATTGTCATCGTATGTTAAGCCCGCAACATTAAAACAGCGGCGGCGTTTGCAAATTGATTGGCGCCAAAAAAGGGCGCTCATTTCAGTTTAATTTATTTCTTTGGAAATGATCTGCGTATATTAAATTCCGCATAATTATGTCATTCCGCAAGCCATGCCACATGCCATTCCGCAAACTCATTCCGCCTTTTACTCTCACCGCTTGATTTCCGCACTGTTACCAATTCCTCTGAACCGGGATCAATATCCCGCGTACGATTTGCTGCTGTACCTTCGCTTAGCTTTTGCTTTCCACGACTCTTGATGATGTTTTCTCCACCGGTCCGACAAAATTTCACTGTCGGCGGGGGTGAACCTTTTTTGTCCCTTTGATTTTGAAACTTTGACAAGAAATGTTTAGTTCCTCAATGCAACAGATTTATAAAACTCTTAATTGGTTTATTGTTATTGTTATTTTTGTTTTTATAAGAAAGTTGAAACATCTGAAGACTTCCTTTTGCGGGCATTATCTCGCGTGTCCTTCCTTGACTAACTTTTGCTCTTGGAGATTGTTTTTCTTTTCTTGTTTCACTTGGAAGGTTGTAACTGCATGATATAAAACACAAAATTTAGTTCAAAAATTCTTTTCTAGTCTCAAGAATGATCCCACCGATTATTTCATCAAGAGTACACGTGGCCACACTCGGGGTACCTGGCGGCAAGTGGCCGCAAAATCATCAATAGAGGTTCTTCATAATCTTTAGCAGAAACATCACTTTATTTTTAAACAAAAATGCAACGGGGAGCGGCATTACTGTTCCACAATCGGTCGTCACCTTCTGACTTGGACTGTATTTTTCTTTATAATATTTTTAAAATAAAGCCAAATCTATAGCTATTTACTTATTGTATCGAGCCCTTAACTCATTGCCCCTTAATAGACGTGATAACATTTTCCGGGGTGGCACATGAAAAGGTGGCCTCGGACCGCTTGATGGAGCTGCAGTATAACTGGTCAACTGAATTTTAAAATCAAATCTCTTCTAGAGAGAATGATCTTGATCTGTCAGTTTACTTTATGATCTGACCGCTGAATTTTTTTTTCAAGCGCAGGACTATACGCAGCGACTCACTAAAAACCGTTTGAAAAAATACTGAAAATAACCAAACGTTCATCATCCAAACTGAAAGCAGGTACAAATGAAGACGTAAGGTTTGCTTAGTCAGTAAATTTTAGTTACACAGCAGTTTCCCTTCCCAGGAAAAATAGATACTATTCCTATATGCTTTAAATCGTCACTTAGTTTATTCATGATCTCTGAAGATCTAGCACGCACAAACTTAAGTTTCTGCGGGGCGCAATATTATTCATGCTTTAACACTGTAGGTGTAAGAGACTTATTTGATCAATTGATATATGCAATTTTTTTAGTTGGATATAAACCGCTCCCACCGTTGTTTTTAAGTGTTATAAAGATTACGCTTTTTTTGCACAACGCCGACTCATTCGACAAAAAAAAAAACAATCATGTGCATATTGTTTTCGCAGAAAAGGAAATCCCCACTTATACGCGAGACTCTCAATTGTTTCCTCCATTTTCCAAAAGATTTTCTTTTAATTTTTACTACCGTATAAACTGTAATTATGAATTTTATAACGCTACCATTTTATCTGAATACAGCCGAAAAATTAATATAAGATCAGACATGTCAGTCGAGAGTACGGGTGGAAACAATCTTCAAAAGAAGCGCCAATATTCTATCATTTATTTCAAGTGGTACAATAGGCGTACCGGTGAAGCTTTTAAAAACAAAGCCGAACGAGTTTGAACTTGTCCTTGGCAATGCTTTCGCGTTTCAGCTGTCTGGGGAAAATTAGCTCTTGTACTAGTTTTCACCTGTCCCGTTTTATGAATAAACTTTCTTCTTGGAACAGGTATAAAAGGCCCTTCCAAATCTGAGGTGTGTTTATTGTTAGCTGACCATTCCTTTTCTTTCTTCAAATCAGCCAGGTTCACGTTAGCGCACACACACGAACGTCGTATCCAGCACAATTGGTGAGTATTCTTGCAAGAGGTTTTTTTTCGCCAGTACTGGCTGAATGTCCTGAGCACTTTCAATTCAACTTTGATTTTGACCTGGGAAACATCTCTGACCACTTTTTGGACAGTTACAATTGCACAGTTCTCTCATCCATTCCCCATGCAATTTTAAACTCTTACTGAATACAGCACTTCACGAAATTTTCAACGCATTTACATCCTAGTAGACTGAGGAATCGGTGAAAGGCTGGACATAAACAATTATATAACATTCAGTCACCAATTTTTTGATGTGATCAACATAGATTCATATCGAGTCTGACTGTATCGTCGCACAATGTTATTAGTGCAACGTTTCAGTAATTTTTCCGCATATTTTCATCACATTGAATCACAATAGGGAGCTTTAGCAACGACGACGGCGACAGCAACCAGGACGTCAAGAAAGCAATTGGTTTATGACGCAAAACAACAACTTTTCACGTGCATTACGCTAATTTGTACATTTCTTCACCCTCCTTGCACAACTACGACGTGAAAATGCCTAATTGCACGTTTTATGGAGGACGTAAACAAGTGACGACGAATCTCTTTTTCTCTCTGTAAACTTGAGTGCGGTCCTCAAGAAATCAACTCCAGGGAAATTCGCCTACACTTGCTATTTTCAGCAAATTGGAATAAAGGCGACAAAGATTGAAAAAAACGGAATTCATTTTAAAACTGACGTTTTCGATGCCAGTTGCCGTCGTCGTCGATGCTAAAGCTCCCTAATTTCTCGGCTAATGGAGCAGTAATATATATAAACACTTCGCGTGAAGGCTGTGATATTCTTGCGGTTTAGCTCAGTTTTCTCTAATCACTAATTATTTCTTTGTGCAAACTACATGTTCAATAAGTTCTTGTTTTAGTCGATTTAGTTTCTCGGATACTGAAGCGCATTGTCACTGTTAGCATTATAAGCCAACCGTGCTGTTTTAATAACAATAACAGATACCAAAGTTACACTTTAATCACAAGCTGTACACTTGAAACTAAAATTTACTAGTCTTTTTTTTTTTTTTTTGGTTTAAAACTTATAAACCTCCAAGGGCCCATAAAAAGCAAAAAATACATTCCACGAAAAAAAAAATTCCTGTCCCAGTTTAGTCAGTGGAGTTTTCATGCTGGACCTAGAAAATTCGCCAATGAATAATTGCTGGGGGAATGTCCCTTGTAAGTTTACCGAACACGTGTTTTCCGTGCAATTCGCCCAAGTAATTTCACTTGAAATGCAAACCCAGAATGTAATCTTATTTCTTTTGAATCTTTGAGCCAAAAACATTTTTAGTATTCGTAGCTTGTAATATTGTTAATGATAATTTTGTGGAAAAAGAGATCCTTTGCCGATATGGTTAAAAACGCCGTATTTCGCCCGCGCGGTAAACTACAAAAAGCACTAGTCACGTCCAAAAATAGTCAAAGAGGAAAATATTAACATAATATTGAATCTGAAAAAGAAGCGCTTGCTTTTTAGCAGCTGATTAAAATAAAAAACGTTCTGTTTTTTTCCTGGCTGCGACAACATTTTTGCTTGGTTAAAAACCCGGTAAAAAGAAGAAAGGAAGAAATATTACTTGTCTGGGCACGTACTGTAGTTTCTATTCGACTCTATAAACAGATGCAGATGCCGCCTTTTGTAATATTTTTTTTTTGGTCTAATCAATAACAAAACAAGAATTCAATAACTATAATCGCTCCAAAATAAGGTCCATTTGCGAAAATGATATCGGTGAAAAGGACTTACTTAAGTTGTGTTTTTCAGTCTCTTCAATTTCGCGCGGCAAAACATTTTAGGCCGGAACAATAGAAGTCCGGGGAAAACTTTAAAACTGGCGCGTCACTCGATTACATCATCCACTCAAGAAGCAAATCTAGCCAATCAAAATAGCTGTATTATTCCCTGTCCAATGAAATAGATTGTTTTATCGCAGAAGAATTGATCGATACGATCAGTCTCAACCACCATCGTTCTGATCAAGTATATTTCGCCAAAATTTGGGAATCAGAGAAGAGGAGAATACGTTTCTCTGGTGCAAAAGACGGGGAAATAAGGATTTCAAGGGGACAAAACGCTTGTTCACTTGTTGTGGTGAGTAGAAAATTTACACCGTTAAAAATATCCAAGAGGGTAATTTCACGAGAAATATATTTAACTCACTAAATTCTTGCTGGCCGCTTTGAACCTGATTTCCAAACATGTCTCGCAGTGTTGAGGCAAGATGAGAAAGTTTTGTTTTTCAAATTCCTTTGGAATGAATTAGAAATCCCGGATAAAATTTTCTTAATGAAAAGAAACTTTGTTGTGGTTAGCCGTAAACGGCACGCGACCTCCAAATTGAAAACGTCAACGAAGGCCTGTGGAATTCGCTTGAAGAGCTGGTACAGTTTTTTGTATTTTATTGCAATTCAAACTCGATTAAGTTAACACATAGCAAAGATTTCCATCTGAGAGCTCATTCTTCTATTGAAAATCAACATCTCTAAGTTTTTATTCACTGGAATGAAGCATCTTCTTTGCTTCTGTTATTCTTGTCCTGTTGCGCAAATCTTTGATGCGTCAAGTCTGTCTAGGGTCCCAGACTCCCTGAAATGTTGGCATCCTGGCCAAAATTTGTCGATCAGTATACGACTATCTGTTCAAACTTTCTTGTAAATCTAAGTGTCAAGTTGATAAATATTGTTGGCCCTCCAGTCGGCGAGACAGCGTCAATAAAGGTCTCTTAAGACTTCAACTGTATTATCTAGAGTATAAATAATCAGTTTGTTTGTTTTGTAAGGAAAATTTTAAAATGGCAAATCAAAATATTTCAGAATGGCAAATCAAAATCTTGTTATGGCCATGAATTTGAAGGGCAGTATTACTGAAAAATACATTAACCAACCACAACATGAAGGTAAATTGGAATAGTTTTTGTCTCAATATCATAGCAAAACAGTAGTTAAAGAACATTGGTTGTGGAATCTCCAACAATGTGTGGGCAGGTGCCAGCAGACTTGTTCATGACATGAGTGACTGGGTTGCTATTTTAGGAAACCTAACGACTCTTTTAATAGATCAGCTACATGTAATTATAGGAACGACTCATTTCTAATCTATTATGGGACCCTTTGATGTGATCATTTGTTGGTGCAAAGACCTCTTTGAATAAAACAATTCATTAGTTCTAGCCAAGCAAAACATAAAATTAAACTATTTGATCTTTGCAGAAGAGAGTGCGAATTTACAGTGTATGCTTTTCAGCTCATCTTAGCATATAATTTTAAATTTTAAACATGTAAGAGTGCTTGTAAGAGGTTTTACATTGTTAAGTAAAGGAAATCTATTGATCTAGTACTTTTAGACTTGCACTGGTTTGTACTGTACCAGCTCATACAAAACTTCCCTTAAGTTTAACCCAAGTATTTTCATACACCCAAAGTAATTTCTTTTAGACTTGTACCACTGGCACTGTTGTTGTTGTTGCTTGGTGAAGAACAAAGTCTATTTTTGCTTTTTGATTCACTCCATAGAGTTGAGTGATTATTCTGTAATGGATTTTTGATTTACTCAAACATAACGAGAAAAAAGGTGGCAAAAATTGTTGACTTTTGTAGCAGTAATTTCTAAGAACAGAAATATGTACCTTTCCTTACTCAGTGATAAATATTCAGGTCACTTCACTTTCAAGTTGTATTTATTATTAATTCTCTTGTCAGTGGTTAATTTCCTCCCAATAATCCGTGAGTAATGTTTTTCTGCACAGTCACTGAGCCTAGTTTGGTGGTTTTACTACTTATTAATATTAAATATTAAATATTAAATACTAAAATGAAAGTTTAAGTTGTAGGTCGTTGCCATTCTTCAACATTTTCTCCCTCACCCTCCATAAGGTGGACATGTGTATCCCAATGAATGGTTAACAGTGTTACTAATGAAGACCTGAAGAAATATCATTTGTCTTATGACATAACAAAAAAAAAGCCAGGGCTCTGATAGGTCTTGAAATTACCCGTTCACTATTTGCCCACCCTAGCTGATGATGACAGCTAGGGTGTGCTCAAAGTCATATGCACCACCTTTGATTCTACATGACTACATTTTTTTACCTCAGCGTTTGCACTGAAAGACTTTTCTCTTAATACTGAAAGAAAGTTTACAAAGACCGTTAGCAATAACATACAATTGAGATGGAGAACCAGTTATTTGGCAAAACAATTTTTTCGAAAGAATAGAATTTGGAAAGAATCATGTGCACACCCCATAGTGCAAGCAGATTGCCATAACACACATCGATCATTCCCCTGCTATCTGTGAGCAACATTAAAAATTGTCCTTTTTTGATTATACAAATGCTAAACGGCTCAGTGTGTACTATCAAAATCTACTTGCACTTAGGTGGATTGCTAAACACTTAAGAAGCCAGAGTTACACTCGGCCATCACTTTGAATTGAGCGACTCTTACACTTCTTTTGTACTCAGAAACCTCCTGCATGCAACTTTGACTCAATAGTACATGCTGAGCTGTTTACCATTTGTTAATTTTGCCATGTGGGTTTGATACAATCCATACCACCTAAGTTTTATCACAGATCAGTGAATTGTTCTGTGAACCTCTCTTCCAGAGTGGATCCATTTAAAATGGCTCCTGGTAGCAGTTCTAGAAGAGCTGATGATGAGGATGGGGGTAGAGAAGAAAGGCCAACACTTCAGAGAGCCAGCAGTGTTGATGAAGTATCAGGCCAGGCACCAGCTGTTGTCAGTACCTTTCTGAGTGAGTGCTTCCGAGCTGATGGCTTACCTGTTCCACAAGAACTCAGCGAGAATCAGAAGAAAATTAACAAAGACGTGGCACATGTCATACGGGATATTGGCGATCGCTTGTCCAATGATACATCCCTCAATAATCTGATATCTCAGGTGCAAGTTTCAAAAGACACTGCCTTTGATACCTTTCTTCAGGTTGCAGCACAGATATTTAGTGATGGCAAAGTGAACTGGGGTAGAATAGTGACACTGTTCTACTTTGGCTATAAATTAGCTGTACAGGTGATTAATGAAATCCCGCTTATCAAAATGATCATCGAGTGGGTTGTACAGTTTATTAAAGACAGACTTGCAAAGTGGATCTTTGAGCAAGGAGGATGGGTAAGGATCTTCTTTCTTTACATTGTATACCATGAACTGCCGCTTTTAAGCCCTAGGCTCATACATAAAATTATTTGTAAGGGGTTTTATTAGCCATGTGGCTTTATAAATGGAGGGTCTTGTATCCTAGGAGGGCTTGTAGCCAGAATGGAAAAAGCACTTTGAAATAAGCTATAGCGATGCTAATCAAAATACGTTTTTCATGGACTGGTTTTTAATTAAGCTGCAAAAGGTCTAGGCTCGATTACCAGCCGCTGTTCGGGAAAATGAGCCCACACTCATCCCCCGAAAGAGCGGCTGGACGCGTGCGATTTCCTTTGTTGGTTTAAGCCAATCATGTTACCGCCTGCAGATTTTCGTCTGGCAAAGATTGTCGCAGAAATTACCACATCAAAACAGAAAGTCCTTTCTTCCCTGCATCCTTGATCCATCGCGTGGCGAGGCGATTTCGACGGCGCGGAGACATAGGCGAAATTCTAGAGTCCGAAGGAAAACAACGTTTTGTGTGATTGTTTGTTGTGAATGATTGTGGTTGGAGAGATTTTGCATCGTCAAGGATCTTTTCAAGGTGCTTTAGGTCTCGATAACTGCGTTCGTTACAGATGTAACCGTCCATGTTTATATTTGACAGAGGAACATTCAATACGCTGGAAATTCTGTCTGGTAAATCAGAAACTTTTGCATTTAATTTGCTCCGCTTCCAAGAATCAGTCAGTTCGGACCCACCGAAGACGTAACCAATATTCGAAGATCAAAGAAAATTAACTACATGTCGCCATGTACAGAAATGTACCGAAGAATCTTTTTCAAAATGTAGGGAAATGTACTGAAAAAACTATTTCGAAAGTCATTTGGGTGGGTAAGGGAACGCTTGACGTAATTTTGAGCCAAATAAATAAGAAAATTGGAGACCAGTTTCACTTCCAGTGATATCGGAGACGCGTAAATTATCAATTTTCCAATTATGTCACAGACAAGGTCAGCGGGTCACGCGTCCAGCCGTCTCTCTTCGGGGAGGATCAAAGACCGGACCCGGGAGACGGTGGAAATCGAGCCTACAAAAGGTCATAAATCAAATTCATTTCTGTACATTTGGAACACAGTTGAAAGGGACTTAACCTTATATCTGGGGGGCTGATAAATCGGATGTATTTTTTGTTTACAGATAGATAGGCTTATAACTTGGTGAGCTTATAAGTGGCAGGATATTTTTTTGGGGGGGGAGGGGGGAGGTGGGAGCAATGGGGCTCTCAAGGATGGAATGCCAACAAAACTGCTAAAAATATCTTTGGTATGAAAATAGGGTGATCACCATGCGTGGAACTTAATTGACAACATTTCTAATAAAAAAGTATTGATTAGGGTTGTATGCAAGGAAATTATAATGGCTGCTAATGTGCAACAGTGGCCCGTAACGATCTTCAGAGTATGTTATGCAAATTGCATGGCAAATGTGACACTTGTGTGGGGGGAGGCTTGTACAGTTAAGCAGATACCCTACTTCAAACTTCAAGTTTGACCAGCTACATTTAAAGTCAAGCTTGTTCAGTACAGTCAGCTCTCTCCGAGATGGACACCTTTGGGACTGGCACTAAGTGTCCATCTTAGAGAGGTGTCCGTCTTATAAAAGGGAGTAAAGAAAGGCAGGGACCAACTCTAGGTGTCCGTTAAGAGAGAGTTGACTGTATCTTTTCTGCAATTATTTACTAACCAGTATTTTATTTCTTTGTAGGAGTCTGTCGTTGAGTACTTCCAGGAGCTACGAAAGAAACATGACCTTCAAGTCTATTTTGTTTTTGGGTGTATTTGTGCTCTTGGTGTTATGCTTCTTTGGCGCAGACAATAACTATCAGAAGTTGCCATCATTAATACCCTGCTGGTAGTTTGTAATATAATGCTGGAATATCTGCAAGTCTTTAAAAGGCAATGCAGGCTTACTGAAGCGGTGAATCAACAGACAATAATGTGAAAGGCAAATGGACATAGTTGGATGGAAAAATGCCCAGCACTTTCATAGACAATGATGAATAAAGCTTGTATATGTGAGATTGCTAAGTGCTTAACTAAACTTGTTTTATTCTTAGGTTTCCTGCATGTTTGATAATATTAAAAGCTATACGTAACAGGATAAACAGCTGCTCAGAATTTTCTTTCTGTTTTTTTTTCTATTCTTTTAGCAGGGGTAGCAGGATATAGAGGATATTATATGACTGTGCCGAGATACAGAAATTTTCGCTGCAAGTTTTGAAAAGTTTTTTACTAGTTTGTTGCACTCTCACTCGTGAATAAATATTTTTTTCAACGTGAGAAGAGAAATTTTGTCTCTCCAAGGAGCCATTTGTTATGTTCTATTTATGATACAAACACCAATTTCACTTAAATACTTTTTTGTTGTGAAATTGTGATCTTTTTACATGTGAAGATAACGTGTTATTTTCACGTATGAAAATGTGTGACCTCTCACGCGATAACGTTCCGAACGCTAGCTGTTCGAACGCTGAACGGAACGGCAAGCGAACGGGCAACGAACGGTTAGGCAAGCCGTTCGAAACAGATACCGTAAATGGATGAACGGCTAATTAAGATTTTCGAACGGATGAGGTCGAACGGATAAACGGCTTCTTTCACTGGTATTTTACTGAAACACCAATTTCACCAAACCATTTTACTTAAATATTTTTTTGCAGTGAATTTAAGACATGATCTTTTTATGTGTGAAGATAACATGTTATTTTCGTGTATGAAGATGTCGTTTTGACTTGTAAGCTCAGATCATCTGGTATTTTATTAGTGTTATACAACCCTCCAAGTTAAATTTTTTGCTCAGTCGCCATTTGGCAACCAACTCTTTTGATTTAGGGAGTCGTTTTTACAAGTCAAGTCGCCAGCTCCAAAATTTAAGGTGCCATGGCAGGCAAAATGATCACAACTTGGAGAGTTGTTTATAATTATGGTAAGTGCAAAAGACATGTAACATGAAGACATGGTTAAAATGGTTGAACATTTTATTCATTCTCTCCAGCTTTGCTTTTCCGTGGTATGAGAAATAATTTTGTTTTCGATACATTTAAACTTCCAAGCTTCTCATCAGTGACCACCTAATATCCAATATACTATCTTTTTCCGAGCAAATTTTATGGAGAAAATTCAGTTCTGTACTTGAGTGACAGAAATTTCTCTGAACAGTGTAAATGTGTAAGGCAACACAAGGCGTGGGTGCTAATTCGTGACTTACTTTAAAACCACTGTAACACTAAAGACATGAAGTGTCTTGCATGCAAACAAATTCATGTGAAAATGATATTATTAGCCACGTGAAAATAGTTTGCCAATTTATTTTTCAGTAACTCCATTTTGTTGAAAAGTTTGGCACTAACAATTTCTCATGTATACAAGCATTCTTATGAAAACACCTCAATCCTTTTCGGCTGAAAGTTCCTTAGGGTGCAGTTGACTGTAAATTTCAATCTACCCCTGTAAAGATTGGTATCAGAGAACCCTCTCCACCCTGCAGAACCTCCCCTACCTTCCCCAAGGTCCAGAACCTCCCCTACCCTCCCCACCCTGCAGAACCTTCCCTGAGCAAACATAAACAGTGCTTGGGTTTCTACAAGGCCATTGGAATCACTTTCTACCTACCCATTGCTTTTGTGTGTGGTGTGTACTTTCACACCCTAAATTATAATTTATTTTAAATGTTATGGCCATTTCCATCCAGTGAAAAAATTTAAAAATGTGAAAAAATGTTACTATCTTTCATGAGAGTAAAATTAATCCTATTATTATTGTTGATTAAATTTGCTTTACTAAAATGTGACGTGATTGAATACCTTTGGGCTAGTTTTAAGGAAACGATTATTTTCAGCTTTGTCCAAAATTTCATATTTATGAGTTTATTATTTTTTGAGCTTGTAAATAATCATCATTATTAATTCAATAAACAAGTTAAATGCAGTGGTTGGCTCGTAAAAAGTTGTCTGCAATCATTTGTCATTGACCCCCTATACCGACATGGCAGCCAGTCAAAACTCTAAACTTTCCATTAACTTTATTAAAAATCCTTACAGAACTTCACTTTCAAATAATAAAAAAAATGGTTTCCTTCAAGTCAATCATTTTAGGAGACCTGACATCCAGATTTCATGATCTACAAATTTCCACTGAAAAGCACATAAATTGCTTTCCACAACCTAATACCTCGCACCCAGGATGTGACATTTAGGGGCCTCTTGATGCCCTTTGATTGTTCTGAGAGCAATGTCTTGAGTGAAAAGGATTCTTGAATCCCTTTACAACGAGAGAAGCTATAAAAATTGCAAAAAAACCCTGATCACTTCTTTGTGAAAATGAAACAGTAAAAAACAGTTTGTTTTTAGTTCTTGAAGAAAGCTGATAATTAGCGAAATGACGTTGCTTCCGGTATGTTACTGCTGGATGGGGAATGTCTGTACACAGGCCACTGCTAACAAGGACGCTGTCAATTTGCAAGATATGTCCATACATGGCGAGGAGAAAATTCTTGCTTCAAACTGGTCAGTTTAGAGGGTTTTTTGACCCCTTCACTTTCTGATGAAAAAAAATGTCTATGCAGAGCACAAAGTATACATATAAGCAGATCAAGTGATGCATAACTCAAGATAGTTCAGTGCTGAACAGACACATGAGCATGTAGTGGTTTGACTCTGACATTTCGTGAAAGTCCAATACGAATTGGGGGGCCAGAAGTCTTGATGTTAATGCCGCCAAGACCCATTCCTGGACTGCTTCTTAGGAGTGATGTAGATGTTGTCTTCAGTTGGTGTTGTTGAGGTTGATTACTTGTTGATGAAACTGCAAGACATTGAATGAAGGAGATGAAGAGGGATGAAAAGAAATAGGACAAAATAAAAGCACTGAATCTTGTTCCTCAAAAGGCATTGCATGTCGTTTTGCAGAGGTACACTGCAATAAGTACTCTATTCATTACTCTTAAGTACTCTACTCATCACTAAACTCTGGTTAAGTCTGTCTGCAAAACAATGCAGAAATCCTCGTTCTGGGCCCCCACCTGTGTGCCAAGATTTGAGTACGTGCCATGATTGCCCTGTTGAAAATACCATCAATTTGCCAATCAAGACAAGGGGAAATTCTAAATGTGCTTCTGGTAATTTGTTGAGTCCGTTGGGGGCTCAGAGCAAGGATAACAACTGGGGGTGAAATTACATCTACAATGCAGGCCAAGGTATTTCTTTTCTTGACAAAATATTTTTTTATGGAAAATCTGTACGAGTTATAATATTAAGTAAAAGACTTTTTTTTATCAAGTCTATAAGGCTATTTACAATCAAATCAATATTGTTATTAGTTTTCATTTATTTTTATTACCAATATAATTATCTTAATATTAAGAGACAGCATAATCATACAAATAATTAAATTTGCACTTGCGTTTTATTCATCTATTTTTGAGGTAAGAGCAGGCATGCTTTATTTTATTTCATTCAGTGTTAAGAAAACAAGTTATCACGCACCTCTTTGAAGGGTATTTTCAGTTATCCTTATGTCTTCAAAAGAAACCTGTGAAGTCAACACAGGAGATAAGAGCAAAAGTTTTAATTACCTAATTCAGTCTCAAATGTATCCGGCTCTAATTCTTAGACTTTTTTGTTACACATAATAATTTATTTATGACACTGAAAATAAATTTAAGGCAGTTAAATTGAAAAGGTTAGCATTTAAACAGAAAAAGTATTAAGCATCTATCATTAATTTTACACATGAGATCATTATTAAAGTATATCATTGTTATGAAATTACTTTTCAGCACTCCTCTCTATTAATCTTAAACAACTTGAAAGAATGAACCAAGTGATTTCTTATCACTTTTTCCTAGGCCACTGTAATTTAAGGCCATCCCTAATGGTATGTTGAGCTTCTCCTTACTAAATTTAAACTGGGGGAAGATGTTTTCTGATAATAATTTTTTTGAATTATAACAACAAAACAAAGTTTTACAACTCAATTGTTAAATGCAGCATGACGCCTTGAGTAAATCAGCTTGTTCAATTTAGTAGCACAGTATTTATCATTGGCTTGTACCCTTAGAGAGCATAACATTGTTTGGCATTTAAGCTGATTTTCAACTGACATACTTGAAGGTGAATTGGATGCAGAACTTGACACAGAGTGGCTGCTGTTAGCTGATGCCCCTCGCCCTTTACTTTTTCCTCTGCCTTTTAGCATCTTGAGTGGTGTTACTGAAATATAAAAAAAAAAAACGGAAATCAAGGCCTCAGACAAGACTTTGAAAAATGAAAAACTGTGCATTGTTTCAAAAATCTCTTCAATTTCTCCACAGAATACATCATTTATTTTGATATTATAATTAGTCACTATTAAAATTTATTAATATTTTTTTATTGCAACATTTTACCCAGTGTTTTTAAAATGAGAAATAAAAGGCTTGTTGCAATAGGGGCACAAGTAACCAATATTAATATCCCCCAAAGTTTCAAATGTTCTATAATAATCTTATTATTTTTTGAATCGGCACTGTGCTACAGATTTTGTCTGTAAGCAGTACAATCCATTTGATTCGTCTTAACAGCATTCTTTGGAATTTAGGGAAATCAGAACTTCTTGGAGGCATGGCCGACAAAGGGTTAACACCTCTAACTTTGTATCAGTAAGTCCTGGTTGAATTCTGACCATCAGGTTTAGGAATGCAGACAAAAAAGTTTTGCTCCACTTGTCTTATCACACAGGTGTATAAATAAATGGAGAATCCTCTGCTTGACCAGCACCTCACTCATCCGGAGGGAGGGTGAGGGAGGCAAAGGGGGTGGTGCAGTGTATGTGTGTTGTGTGTGTGTGCAGGGACTGGGATGGGTAATACTCTTAAGTGCCACATGCTTCAAAAGCCATGTTAAGCTCTGACCATGCCTGCCTCTAGCCTGCGGATACAGCCCTTTTTCCTTGCTCCTCAGCGTTAGGGACGTTTCACCAGGAGGAACGTCTGCCCCTCAGTGACAGACATTCCACACACTGATGATGTAAATCAATGTTTACAAAATAAATCCGGTAGTCATGGGGTTCTGGATGTAAATTTGTTTGATTTTGTGTTTCTCCTGGTTGATTATGGTAAAGTTGTGTGTTCTACTGCAAACGAGCTCCAGCAAAACACAGATGCTTTTTCTAAAGAATAACATATTCCAGGAATATTGACTGATTTGTAGTAGATTCGTCATGTTTAAGACCCCATTTACATTTGACTCTTGTGGTCTTTTGTCTGTTATTGGTAAACAATAGGTAAAACAATGTAACAACTACGTTGACCAATCAGGGCTCCTGACCAGATTCTGGACAGATTTTACGCCATCAGTATGGAATTTCTGTCGTTGAGGTGCAGACGTTCCTCCTGGCGAAATGTTCCAAGCAGCGAGGAGAAAGGTGAAATGGCTATATATATTTGCAGACTAGCTTGCCTCCTTGTCTCATATGCATTACCCATAACCTCTACAAACCTGTAACACTTGTCCTTGGCTTGACGCCAGCTCTTGCTGGAGAGCTTGTTGATTTGCCACGCCCTCGTCCTTCGGATTTCTTCTTTAACTCTGTCTCATTAAAGTCGCTGTCATCTTGGTCATCACTTTCATTGTCTGCATCACTTAACTCTTCACTTAGTTCAAAGTCACTGTCTTTGTTATTCAATGATTTAAACAAGAAAAGAAAAAGTTTTTTAATAAACCTTTTTAATAAGCTTGTAGGTTTTGTTTTCACAATTCAGACCACATGATGTTCGCCTAGGAAATTTGCCTTTTTATTTATTATGCATACATATGCACGTGGATGCACATACATAAGACGACATTTGAAAGAAACAGTTCTCTGGGGTACCAACACGTACATGAAATGGGAAAACAAAACATACAAGCTTAAAAGGTCTTTTACTACAATACTAGAATCATGTGTACTTTACGCACTATCAACTACCATATACTTTATCCTTCTGTCATGGATTTTTTTCTAAATTTTTCTCACAAAAAAAACACATGTGGGTCTCAAAAACAAGAGACCAACCTTGATTGGGTTCAACTTCCTCTCCTTGAACTTCTTCGTCAAGGTCTTCCTTCATGGCATCCGTTTTGTTTATGGTTGATCTCTGTTTTGGTTTCACCTCATCATTGCTACTATCATCTTCTTCACTTGGACTCTTCCTTTCAAAGTTTGTTCCAGAACCATCACTGTGAAATAATTAATGGAGCTTGTTTATTTTGAGTAAAGTGCACTCACGGACTGCGGCAAGCCCAAAGGCACTCCACTCAAAGGGGCTGTCACGCTATTTAAATAAATAATAATGATTTAGAGGTAGCACATCCACATAGTGGTTCTTCATAATAATAATACCTGATTTCTGGTCGACCTGGAATTTGGAAGTGTTGGTTCTTGAGGAGAAGGGAAAACCGCATTCCCTGGAGAAAAACCTTTTGGATCAAAGGGGAGAATCAACAACCAACCCTAACCCCATTATGGTGTCAATGATGGGAGGAAGTGTCTTTGTGTCAATATACAATGTATAATTCTAAAAAAAATAATAATAATGGTGGTCACACTACAGACTTTTAACAAGGTAAAACAAATTTACCTAGGGCAAATTCGTCAAAAATTTCCTGAGGTAAATTCGTCTTGGGTTTCATTTTACCTAGGTGTAAAAAAATTTGGGGAAGGTCGCACTACTGAAATCGACTCCCAAGGTTTTCACGCACATCTGAATTTTTGGTGCGTAAATTCAAGAAGGCAAGATTCTTCCGGATCTAGCCGATCAAAGATGCATTTGTCTTTTTATCTCACTGTCATTTCTTATGCTAATTCAGAGATCAAGGGGAAGATGCAGATGACACATGCCCCCCCCCAAATTCTTTCACAATGTGAGGTATGTTTAGTTCTGTCATCAAGACCTTCGCCTCCGAGTGTCTATTGGTTAGCAACCTCAGTACTTTATTTTTCCCTAGCTATCCCTTAGGGGTAGCTGTCAAGGGAAACTCTATTGTTCTAGAGACACATCCAAGCACCAGACGATAAAATTTCCCTAAGGTAAGTTACCTAGGGAAAAATGAGTCACACTTGAAAAATAAAGTTTCCCTTGGTTAACTGTCAACAAGGTGAGTTTACCTAGGTAAAAAGCTGTAGTGTGACCACAGCTAATGGCCCAGTTTTGTTATTCACGACTACACTAAGGCATTGAAACTGTTTCTTGTCCTCTGTTGCTTGTCTGATATCATCTTCATAACTCTACAGGAATATTGTCAGGGTCGCCCAACTACAATTTTTGGAAAATATCTGTTCGGAAGACGATTTGAGGTCTAGAGTTTTCGGAACATTTGTTGTAAAATTTCTTGCTTGCTTGTCTCTCCTAGGATTGTCGAACATCTAAAAAATGGTATAATTGCCCATTTTTAAGGGGTTTTACCCTAAAAAGGTCGCGTAGAATTTTCGGGAACCTTTTTTTGGCTAAAATTTTCGAAAAAGGTAACTTTTGATCCCTACAATTTTCGGATCACTAGACTCTCAGCTAGGAAATCTGAACAGATGAAAAATTTTTAGGGGATAAAAATATGCCCATATCTACTGTTTAAATACTAAAATACGTTCAACAATGCTATGTTTAAGAGGTTTTGAACTATGTTCTTGTTGGGTGCCCCTGTATTGTAGCCTTACAGCCTTTTCAAATAATTAAGTGAATGTTTAGTGAAACAAATCAACTGTACGCTATAAGAGGGGGGGGGGGGTTATTCAAAAGGGGTGGGCTACTAAAATTATATTTGACTGTTGAAACAGGGGCAAGGAAAAAGTGGGGCCTTGAGAGAGGGAGGTGGTAAAAAATTGTTAGAGAGAATGATTATGGTACAATATTTATCGTACCCAGTATTTTCTTTGTCGTTATCTTCTGTATCAGAAGAAGGGAGTAATCGAGCTTTCTTTGGTTTGGATGGCCGCAATTCCTCCTCATCTGAAATGTCACCTTCCCCTTCATCATTTGCATTGCTACTACTGTCATTTCCAGCAGATGACAGCTGTGACTCTCTAATTGAAGCCTGCAGTGCTGCCTCTAAATCTTTTTGATAAAGCTTTTCATCTCGAGATAATCTGCAGTGAAAAGATGTTTGAGTTTAGCTTCGTACAGTCATTTTTTGTACACTGCAAGTTTTGTACAATACTAGTACAGAAGTTTTGTGTACAAAAGAGTTCTTAGGGCGTCCAAAAGCTTTATTGCCCAGCATATAGGTTTTGTGCAAAGGCAGAGATTCTGTAGGAGTAATCCAAAAGGTGCCAGGTGCCACGTGTAGCCCTATTAGTATGCCTAAGAATCCTGAGTTTTTTTTTAACCCTTGGTGACTCTAAATTCCTGACCATTTGAACCAGGTCCACTTAAAACCTGATTTCCCTATTGACCAGTCACACACTATATTTTCCCCTTGACTTTTCAAAGCTTCTGATAATTGAAACCACTCTGCTTTTCCTTGGGGGTTCAAAAAATTGGGGATTCCACTGTTTTGTTTTCCCTGGTCACATTGAAAAAAAATAGTGGCCCAGTGCTTACTCAGATCAAAACTTATGATTCATAAACAATTCCAGAAGCTCATTGTTAACCAAGGGATGGGTAAGGAAAAGACCTTGTTAATGTTATTTATTGCCTCTAAAAAAACATGACTTAAGATAAGTTGACCCTAATTGTAGGTTAAAAGTGGGTTACTGCACTTTAAATAACCCTGCTCTGAATTCGTCAGACACTAGCAAATTTTAGTCGGCCAATGTCTGATGACGGCCTGTAATTTGCAGTCCTGGGCTTCTGCTCACAGGGTACCTAGCAAGTGGTTTTCCTGTAAACATACAAGGCCCACCATGTTCTTGCAGGTTCACCTTAACACACTAAAAATTTATTTTCAGGCTTTTTTGTCACAACAAATCTAAGGAATGTAAGATTTACAATCTTATCTTCTCCCAGACAAAGGCACCCTGATCCCTTGAAACATAAAATTCAACTCAGAAATTAAACTGTACCTTTCTTTTCTTTTTAAATTCCCTGAATCTTTAGTTTTACTTTTAGTGACTTCTTGTTTTGTTTTTGCTTTTGTCTTTGTTGCGGTCTTAGCCTTCTTTACAGGAGCTGGTCCAGTGTCATTCTGGAAATCATCTATAGCAATTACGACAATAAAATTAGTTCTGATGCTTGTAAATTAGTCCTCATTTATTTGGAGAATTCAAAAAGCTGCCCCGGGAAAGAGGGTCACCATCCCGGCCAAGCCAACTTTCGTGAGCATTAGTAGGAGAAAAAAGTCGACCCCTTTAGATGAACCAAGAGCTGATGACAGTGCCTGTCCATGCTCTGATTCTCTTGCTATGACCAAGTGTTTATATAGAGAAAAAACACGGTGACTTATTTTATTTGCAATTGAAGAGAATCCCTGAATACCAACACACGCTGTGAGGTCATAGAGGCATTTTTGTTAAGACAGCTTTTTACAGTAGCCTCCATGTAATTGGTGTGTTTTTCGTGTTTGAGGGAACAATGAGTATTTCAAGGGGCTTATCTGTCTGAGTGGAAATCTGCCAGTGCAAAGCCCTATACAATCAACTTCCATTATTGTGGACACCCTTGGGACTGCAGTTGAGTGTCCCTAATAGCAAAAGTCTGTAATAATGTGGTGCGAAAAAAATTCTTGATATTAGGGGACTTACATTTTTAAATTTTGTTCATTAAAAAATGTACAATATAAAAAAATTGTAGTAACACAAAAACCAGAAAGTACAGTACTAGAAAATCCACTTTATGTACATTAAGTAGACCATGCTTGCTTTTTGCAAGTAAGTACAGTAGTTTTTTAGAAGGATCATGTGAAATGGGAATTGGAGTGTTCACTTTTCAAGCAAAAGGACAGAGATGAAGTGAAAAAGGGGAAGAAATAAATTATAATTTGTGATAATTCTGCCTAAATGTCAAAAGATGCTGATTGCTGTCAATTATAACAAGAGTTAGAACTTATATAATTGAGCTGTTGGGCCCGAGAGAGGTGTCCGTAAGTCTGTAACAGCAAGAGTCCATAATAGTGGGAGTTTGTTTCAGTCAAATGTCTGTAATTTTTTGCCGAGGATTTAGCAGCTGTCTGTATTAGTGGGATGTCCATGATAGTGAGGTGTCTACAAGATGAGAGTTGACTGTAGACTGGAAACCTTTTTGTCAAAAATGAACATAGCCAGCCCTGTTATAATGGCAAAAAACTGTTTTTAGGGATGGGGAGCAGTTATAAGTGCTGGGTCCAGTTACCCTTCATGTGCCCAGTCATGAGACAAGCAGAAGATGCCACTGCTTATCTCATGATCTGTGTTTGTTTACTTGCTCTGTGGCCTTTAATTATCGTTGTTAAATTCACTTTTGTTTTTGATACACTAAATATTGACTTATTATTATAATCCAAATTAGCCATTATGTAAGTTTACATCAGATGAACAACTTTCCCAAGTTAGTCCCGGGGTCAATTTAATAGAACTTTGACAAGCGAAATTTTCAAGTGTACAAGTGGCTATATTGTGTTCGGACTCAGAAACAATAGCTTCACTTGTAAATTACACTTGTAAAAGTTTTAGTAAATCAACCCCACTTTTGGAAATGTAATAAAATATCTGTGAAACTGTGTTGAGATTTATAGGACTGATGTCAACACACTTATGTGCTATTAGTCCAATGATACTTTCACTTACTAAATAATTAATGTTTCATTACTATTAAGCTTAATTTCTACAGCAAATCCTACTAATGGGTATTATATTAATAACGGAAATTGAGAATAGTAGATAATTTAGAATGGGGCTTCACTTTGTTCATAAAATGAAGTTTGATTTGGAACAATTTTTACAAAAAAATGTAAGACTCACCGTCGCTATTATTTGTGCTTTCACCTTCTTCTTCACAAAACTTGGAATAATCAACTTTTTTGCGTACTCTACGGCGAAGAGACATTACAACGAAATTACCCACCATAAAACTAAACTAAATTAAGTCTGTTTAATGATCGAAACACAGGCAACAGATCGTGGAGGTAAACATGCATGCAATTTTAAGATCATTTTTACGCATAAATTTGTCAGAAATATTAATTCAGTCTGTCCCACATGCCATGGAAGCTAAACAAGTGAAAGTGCTTACATGATAAAATAATTGTATTGTAAATGATTATTCTTCAACACGATAGTTTTTGACGAAATATTCAACGAAACAACAAAGCTCGTTCATATTAACAACAACAGCATCGATTACTCATGTGCAAACAAAAAAATCAAATAATTTTGAGAACTAGTACCTGTCAGATCGTCTCCCAAGAGACATGCCAGGATAAGACACGCTTGAGGAAGAAAATATCCAGTAAAAATAGTTCGTTCTCCTCGATGTTGTTAAAAATATTTTTTTGAAAGTAGAATAATAAATCGCGTGAATCGTGCGTGAAAATGAATTGGCGCCAAAACAATAGTTTCTGCGATAAATGCGTTCAGCGGTGAGCCTCTTCCTGATATCGAGGTTGAAAGGATCGGGCATGCGCTGTTTGATTTACCGCTGGAAACATTTTCTCCCGCTAGAAGCATGGAGTGTGGAAGCTGAGTGGAAGCGTTTTTGTAGGGGTGGTAATTTGGTTTGTATTTATCATGGTACTTCTTGGTCTGCGTTTTACGCTGTTTAAGAATTTCCCAAAGCGCGCAAAGACATTTACAGAACGAGTGCACCAGGGAATTTATCATGGAAAAGGTTACATGTATGGCCATGTGAGCACATTTTCTGAAAAAAAGTAAGCTTAATGTTGAGTTTAATGTGAAAGAATTTAATTGTTGAACGTAAATATATAACTTTGTAAAGTTATTACTGTCTTTCAAATTTATTCCTTAAGATACTTTCGAGGATTTAAATTAGACATAAATGTCAGCAACAACTGCACCAACATTAACATTTTTTATTTGAAGCAGTTCATGTTCCCCAAGTTTGTAAGTGACAGTAACTAGCAAATCCTTTCAAAAACAGATACTCTTGGAACCGGTACCAAATATTTGTCTTGGTGAGGTGTTCGCTCTATAGAGAAAGAAAAAAAAAGAATGACTCAGGGTGCAAAGAAAATCATTTTTGCAGCTTGCCATTCGGGTAAGCTGAAGCTAGCATTTACTAGCCCAGATGTCATTTCAACTAGCCCCAAAAGCTTTTTGTCAAGCAGAATTGATTTAACACTTCTTCCATTATTCAAATTCCTCAAAAAACATCACTTGCCTGGCGGGCAAGTTAAAAACAGAATTCACTAGCCCGATAGCAAAATCCACTAGCCCCGGGCTATCAGACACCACTTTCTTTGCACACTGATGATGAGCAGGGACCGCCTTTATCATTCATTTTATTCCAGGCACGACATTTCCCACCACTCTCTGGCCATCTGTTGGGCTTTTTTCTTCTTTAGAAAGCTGCTAATGCCCCATGGTGGGGGCAGCAGGTCCATACAGCAACCCCACTGTAGGGCATTAAAAAAATTGAGCAAATTACCCACAAAATTAACAAACCACAAATCCATGCAGTGAATAAATTCTTCCACTGACAGTAATCATGCATTGATGCATACACAAGGTGCAAAGAAAGTCAGTTTTTATAATACCTTTCTCTTAGGTAGCATGTGCTGGCCCAAGAGCAATTTTAACTAGCTAACAAAATATCCAGAACCAATCCAAGACTCAGTCCTACAAGCAATGAGTCATGTAACCAGACAATTTCTGAAGTCATGTTACATCATATTTCAACACGCCATGAAGCCTTTAACCAGTCTAGTAAGGATTTTTACTCCCACCTGCTATCGCAAACACCTGCCACTTTTGAGAGGCTTGAAGCACTTGTAGAAACATTCAGAACACTCGTAGTAGGTTAGACATATGAAGCTGGCTGCCCTTTGAAACTTGACGTAAGCTCTGACCCTCTGGTGGTTATCCTGCCTTACCCACATGCATCTAATAAATGGTAAAACAAAGTGAGTAGCCACTCCGGGAAAACTAAAATGTAAAGTGTAAATGTAAATGTCGCGATTGAGAGGACAAACATACATGTCCTCTTTACATAGCTTTTTGCAGTGGGCTCGGACATCAGCATACTAAGGGCGCCGATGGCAGCCGCTATCAGTCCATTTATGAGCCCACTGAACCCTCCCAACCCATGATGAGTGATGATGTAAGTGATGAAGATAGACCACAACACCGGGAATTACGTCCCCTACTCGTTTCAAAATTTAATAGTGTGTGGGTTCTTTAACGTCCCACAGAGTTATATGTGAACAAGGTTTGTGAGACGGGACCTCCGGTTTATCGTCCTTATCCGAGAAGACTTGAAAGTCTAATGTTTGCAGATGTCATTACAAAGACAGCACTTTCTCCTCAGTTATTTTTAAGACCCTGAGTGTTGGTCCGGCCAGGATTCGAACTCACGGCCTCCCGCTCAGCAGACCGGCGCTCTCCCAACTGAGCTAACCGGGCTGTGTCCAATAAATAAAGGGGGAGGGGAGTGGGGGCTATGGGCCTGCCTGGTATAGACTGAGACATGCCCTTTTATCGACTGTGTAATTCTACTTTTTTGTTCTTCTGTTATATAATGATATTATGGTTAAAAAGGGAGGAAAAAACTATACTTTGGATGGCTACCAATCCAGTCAAAACTAACAGGGGACAAAAAAGGCACGCAACAGTACAGAGGGAAGATTCCAATATTATTTTTTCCAACATGTATGAATTGCTACACATGTAGTAGTTTGACATATGAGAAAAAAAGGTTAATTTCATCTGATTGATAATAAGGTGATGCTATAATGTACAGCTGTAGCATACACTATTTAAGCAACAGAAAACGTTTTCCGTGTTTGCATAGCCTGATATAAACACGAGAGGGGTTGGGAGAATTCAAGACAGTTATGCAAACCTGAGACGAAGTCGAGGGTTTGCATAACTGTCGGGAATTCTCTCGAGTGTTTATATCAGGCTATGCAAACCCAGGAAAAAAGTTTTCTATTGCTTTCATAAAATAACTTTCCTGAGGAAAAGACACAAAACTCTTTGTATGGCACTGATTAAGAGAAATTCTTACCAGTCGCAAAGTCTTGTCCACGAAGTCTTGCTCGCGTAATCAGTTCTTGTTTTGCACAAAGATGCTTTCCAAAATACGGATTTTTCTCGGTTAAAATGTCAGCTTAAGCGAAGAAAAATTGACACACCTTCTTTGTAACGATTTTCCAAGTTTCAGCCGACGAAGGAATGGGTAAAAAAAGTAAACTTTTTTGAGTTTTGAACTCGAAAACCTTTTCAAATTCGTGCTTGCATGATTAGCGCACGAAAAGCAAAACGTCTTGACGCCACAACCATGTTTACATACTCTCATGCAAACACGCCTCTCAGCCAATCACAGCGCGCGTACTATCTTAGTTATTTTATAAACATGTATGATTGTAAAGTTCGTCCTTGCAGGGCTGCTGGGGGTAGGGGGGGTTACCTACACGGGGGAACCTACACCTGTACTGTTTACACTCTATTGACTGTTTGTCCCTTTGCTACTAAGTGGGTGTTCTGCAGATGACCATTACGTGCATGAAGAAACTCAATCTTCCCTTAAAAAAAACATGTGAGTCTCTTTACTTTCTGTTCCAAGGATGTCCTTTGTCCTTGTAAGTTATCCTTTGCAAAAGCTCTAAATGGGAACAACAGGAAAAAAGGCAGGAAAATTAAATCACAAATTGTGCTTTTTGGGGTCAAAGACTCGCAAGGCCTCTCATATGTTTAGCAATGGTGGCCAGCTGGTAAATGACTGTAATGTTACGTCACAGTGTTGGACAGAATAAACATTTTAGGAGAGCTATTGCAGGCAAACAAAATGTGATTGCAAAGGCTATAAATCAATATAAATTAAGTTAATTGTCCATAGTTTTAATATGATTTTTTATATCTTTCCAAGCAAGTTCCATCACATGTCATCTGAAAGCTTCAATAAGCTTCAAACTGATCTGGATTCATTTTGCTTACGCACAATTGCCTTCTTTCCACAGAACAAAGCGGGTTTGGAAGCCAAATGTTGTCAAAAAGAAATATTACAGTCAAATACTGGAACAAACCATGAGATTTGAATTCAGTACGCATGCACTAAGATGTATTGACAAGGCGGGAGGATTTGACAACTACATTATCAACACTAAAGACAAGTGGCTACACTCAAGAACAGCTATAGAACTGAAGAAGCTTATGTTAGAAGTACTCAAGTGTAAGGAACAGGGTATGCCAATGAGTCAGATTAGGAAGGAGGTGTTCCCACAGCCTAAAGTAAGCAAACATGTTCATATTCCAAAGACATACACCACCAGATTTTACTTTGATTGGAGAGGACCTCGCAAACAAGTAGTTTATTGCTGAATTATTTAATGTTATCACTTTTACTAAACTGCTGACATTAAATTTAATTCTTCTTTACGAAGCAGTTCAGACCTTTTCCTTCTTCTGGCCAAGTCAACATCACATGCCAGGACAGCTGTACATGTATGTTAGACAGGCAAACAGGTATCTGTTCTTTTCAAATCCCTATTGCCAGTGAACGTTGTTAATTTATTAACAAATTCATTCAATTTTTACAGCCATTGTGTGCTGTAAATTATAGCCATTTGCAGCAAAGAGATAAAATCAATAGTGTAAATGAAAGTATGTATTAAAGCAACAGAGGTGATGTAATTATATTACTTACATCACAGAACTAATACTGCAGATTATTTAGGACAATAATGCGTCTAGCAGCAACATATCTCTTTAAGTTCTTTGTCATTACAACATGTTCCATGCTACATTTATCCGACCTATTTATTTAATGCTGTCCAATAAGATTGCTCATGACCGTTTTAGGCTCTTGTCTAATCTGCTTTATGCGGTCAGCCAAATTAAGACAACTTTGGTTAGAGAATTGCTCAAACAAGTTGAAATTTCTGATAAAATAGTGAGGACACTTTTTCTGTCTCAAACATCCCTCAAGCTTAAATAGAAGGCCAAGGAATCTCTCACTTAAGCAACCAAAGCTCCACTCCCAGGAGTGAGGATAGGCTTCACACTCATATAACAGCAAAGTTTTAAGGTGGTACGACTTCAGTGGATGAAGGCTTAATTCTTCTTTTAGTGCCTTCAGTATACGCAATACTTGCTTTCGGCAAGAGCTAGCTTCTCCATGGCCCCCTCTGAGAAACAGCTTCTTTTCCGCTGTTGAAAAAGAAAATCTCCAGAGAAATCCTTTTTCGTTATCGGGACCAGTAATCCCTTTTGGTTGTTTTGCCACCAAGTGACAACCATCTTGACAAATTTCACGCACAAGGTCATGACTGGGCCAACCTAAATAAATGCAATGAAAACACAAAATGATATATGTGTGTGGAAAGATCACATTGGACATAATAGTTCAGATGCACCAGCAATAATGTAGCTAGTCATACACTGTACGTAAAACAACAGCTGAACAGTGTCAGCATTACAAGATACCTGTGTAATGTACTAGGTTCAGTTGGAAGTTTCTGTTTAGGGAACAAGAGTTCAGTAAAAACAATACCATTTCGATGTCTTGTCCTCCATTCCTCAGCATCTTCTGGCCAAGAGTTATCCTTTATGGCAAGGGTTAGATCAATGGAGTATTCTTTCCCATTCCTGGTAATTTTCAAGGTCACTGCAGGACCTTCTGACTTAACAACAACAAAGCTAAAGATTGGAAAGAGAAGAGCCTAATGTAATAAATTATTACTATTATGTTGCATCTACATGTTACAGTGCAGGGTGCAAAGAAAATCATTTTTACAGCTTGCCATTTGGGCAAGCTGAAGCGAGCATTTACTATAGCCCAGACGTCATAGCAGAATTGATTTCACAGTTCTTCTGTTATTCGAATTCCTCAAAAAACATCACTTGCCCCTCACTTGCCCGTCGGGCAAGTTAAAAACAGAATTCACCAGCCCAATAGCAAAATCCACTAGCCCCTGGCTATCGGACACTACTTTCTTTGCACACTGCAGTATAGGTTTAACACTTTTTATTTACATGTACATATAAAATTTTGGAGCCCTTAATTAAACATAATTACATAATTATAAACAATAAATTATCAACAATTATTATATACAATAAGTAATGGTAACAGGACTGAGTGGAGTCCAATTCGGTCTGTAATAGTCTGATTTGTTTAATCACGAGTATGATTACAGACCGAATTGGACGACATGAAGTTCTGTTACCAATTAATCATAACTTTAACAAAATTTGTGATATAATAGGCTATTTTTTAAATCAAAACACAAGAAATTCGACATTTTCTTTTGCTAGCTTGAAAAAAAAGCCATTTAAGCGCGCGCTTGATGGCGCGTACTGTCCAATCACTTAGGCATGACGCGTACTGTCCTATTAAACTATCCAATTAAGGCTGAAATCAGGGCAGTTGATAGCCAATCAGATTTGACAATTTTGTTATAGTTATGATTATAATTATTATTGGATGAGGTTTTTGTGATATCCAGAATAAGCAAGGTCGAGGTAAGTGTTGTCAGCCGAGCCAAAGGCCAAGGCTGATAACACTTACCAAGTCCTTGATTATTTAGGATATCATAAGAACTGAATCTAATGATTGTTTTATTATACATTGTTTTGAAGAAAATAATGACAAACACACCGTCCCAAGGAACCTGAACTGATATTGTTAGAGGAAATCATGCATTGCGCGTGCAACCTACAGATTAGTCAGTTATCTGCTAGCAGCTGATAACTAACTAATCTGTAGGTTGCACCGATTTCCAAAATTAGCTGTAGGCTCTCAGCCAGTGATAAGACAGATAGTGAGTACAATTTATAAATTTATACATTGTACTCACTAATTAAAAACAATGGTGATGTAAGCTCTTTAACATTATTGGACAAAAAAGTAATAGACTGGGGCCAAGTTCCATTCAAAAGGTTGAAAAAGCACAGGCTAGTCACATTATGAAAAATAACTTGTTCCCCTTGACCCCCTTTTTACCCCAACACCAACATAATTATGTTCACCATCATGACATTGCCATGCATGACACTTGAAAACTGTGCCTATTGAAGGGGCTGTGTCACGGCAGTCTAGTTCATTTTGTTTAATTTTGCCAATTACTAGCCCTCAATCGCTATGGAACTTAAAGTAAGCAAAGAAATTAGAGGTAAATGACAAAACCAGAGATCCGAGACAAACAAAATTAATATGTCTCCTGAGCATTATTTGTGAAGTTGCAAGCAGCAGGGATCAACTTTGAAAAACTGTTAGGCTGAACAGTTTTCAAAAACCCTAATTTCAATCTTCTTCAGTTTTGCCCATCCGTGGCATCTGTTTTTTCTGTTATGGTATTTTCACCTTCCTTTAAAGTTTTAAGCGGTTATTTTTATGTTTCTCCTAATTTAACTGGCATTTTGTAATTTCCTAATTTGGCTGAATTTCGTGATGCAGTAGTGCTTCTTTCATTCTGGCTACACAATGATTTGAAATCTATTTTTGCTTCATTTCCAATATTAATAATGACCTTGTTGGTACAATGTAGGTCTCAACTGTGTCTATTATTGCTCCGTGAGTGTGTAATCTTAAACTGGAATTTGAAGGCTAAGTCCTCAGTTCTTAGTCTTGCTATCAAATGATTCAATACATTTGTTAACTCCTGTGAGTGTTTTGTGCATTGGGTGGGAGGGAAGGGGATTAAAAAAGGGACCCAGAATTAATCGAAATGCTTTAAGTCTTTGGTAGAAAGGCCCATATTGTGCACTCAGTTAAAGTGACAACTTTTGCATGCTGTTGAAGCAAGCGTTTAACGGCAGTGATTTCGTCCCTTACTTACCTGTACATGTCAGTTTCTACTTGTGTGGGCTGGTGAATGTGAATCAACCCTTCCCTGTGATATGACACTGGTAATAATGTTTGTTAATTCAAGCCCTCTAATTTAGAGTTGAATGATGTTTACAATCAATACATGTATTTTCCCAGATAATACAAAATCTTTGCTTATGGAGTGGTACCTTTGATATCCCAGGTTGGAAACAGCTTCTCTAACAATTCTTGCAAACACTGCTTTAATCTGGCTTGCTTTTAACATTCCTCGGGAGTTGGCGCACCCTTCCCGCTGCCATAGCACTTCGTCACCCCTATCGATCATTACTCTAGTAAATCCTGCGGACAAAAAAAAAGCTCTGAAAGTAGGTGGCATTGTCACTGACAGTTTCTTAGCTTGCAGTTGGGAACACAAAATTATTTAACACACTTTGCCTTTGAGCATTATTACATTTTGCCAACTTCAAAGGGGAAAGTAAAGTTTTCCTTCCCCACTCTCTAGAAGCAATTTTGCACTACTCGGTACAACGGTAACTTTAAAAATCATCAGACACTCCAACTTGGAACTGAGGGGAGAGGGCAAGGGTGCAGATTGTTTAGTTCTCCAAAGCAGCCAGTTGAGGATAACGTCTCAACAATTACGTCACCAATTGTGCATGGCAGATGTTTGAAAGGGAAGGTGAAAGTGAATTCTGGCATTGCATAATGCAAATGCGGGCTAACGCTTTAAACAAGTTCAAATCTAAGGGTGCACATACTGTTCACGTGCTATTTGGAAGTAAAAGGGTTTCCAAATACAACAGTGGTGTATCATCAGTCCCTTGGGGGTTATACTCTCTATAATGGCCTATATCAACAGGCATTTCCGAAAGAGACAACGTTTCACGCTTCAGGTATATAAAAGGGTTTCATGGGTTGAAGTATTTGAAAGGGTATGGAAATCTGTCGTTTTGGTCTTTAAAAGGACCTATTATTAAGATGATAAATTTGAACAGATGCACCTTCTAACGTGTTTGATCTTTCATAATGTGGATTAACTTCAATACAAGGATGTAGAAAAACAGGTGCAGAGTCTTAAAGTAGGTATGTGAAAGGGGTACACTTTTTTAATGTGAGGTACACAAAACGGGTACCTTTTCTTTCCAAAAATGACATAGAAGATGGTAACAGGTAAAACCTCGTTGCAGAACAAATAAAACTTTTTCCCGTCTTTTCTATGAATACTTTATTCAAGATTCAGCCCATCGATGAATCACACCGCTTCTTAACTAATAATTTTAAACCAGGAGACTCTCTCAGCTTTGTGTATATTATTACCCTGGGTTCCAGAGACTTTTCTAGCGCGGTTTCCGGTTTCTGTCAAGTCTTCATAGTGACCCGCGCGTTTTTCTCGCGGCTTCGCCGCTCGTGGTTTCGGCCTTCGGCCAACCGAAAATTCCCGCCGCACGCGAGAAAAACCTCTGGTACCCAGGGTAGTATATTATCAATATGTGATATATTTTATTATTTCTTACCCTCGACTATGCGCACGTGCGTACCATGCGTGCAGGTCGCTGCGCCCCTGCTATTTTCAGAACCGAGTTATCATTTAGCTTAAATACGAGAATTAATATTACTGTATCAGTTTTTTCTAACAAGAACTTTGATGTCGTCGTTGGCTGTATTTAACAATAACATAAAGCAATCAAAAACCATACCAAAGTACTCGAGTAATAATTATGTGATCACTTTGAACGTACAGTAAAAACCGCGTATAAGAACCTAAAATTTAAGAACCTGTTAGGCTAAAATTTTCATTTTAAACCCCCTTTTCATAAGAACCTATTTAGCCTAAAATTTCTAATAGGTCCTTATTTTACAAAAATGAAGGCACACACGAACTTAATAATACAGAAAAAATTTAGTCTAGGCTTCAGTCAGTAAAATTCAAGAATAAAATATGTAACACAGCATTTTATGGACACTGCAGCATCAAAGACATACATCTGATACATGCTAGTACTTTGGAAAGATAAGTTTACTGTAAGATTATCTAAACTGTTTTCTAGGTCATTATTTATTATGTAAAGCATTATAATCCATATCACACTCTAGCTGCCCTGTACTATTATCTGTCCTGATCGCTAGCCCGATCGCTAGTGCCCCTATCAAATTAAGAACCTATTAAAGAACCTAAGAAGCCTAAAATCCCACTAAATACCATTTCTATAAGAATCTGTTTAGGCTAAGTTGGAAAAATCTAGGTTCTTATATGCGGGTTTTTACTTTATTGAGAACCTTACCTGTTGGCGGTTCGCTCATACCGTCGTTTTCGTACTCTTCATAAGGTGCAGCGTCCAGTTCCAAGTTCTCTATTTCCAACATTAAATCGAACTCGTCTGGCTCGCCAACCTTGGCCCTTTCATAATAACTTCCAGTAGGAAGAATTTTTAGTTTGACGAACCGACGATGAGCGTCTCGTTGCCTCACGAAATCAACTATGCTATCTACAATGGGCTGCCACGACCTTAAAGCGTCTGATTTTTCCTTTTGTCTGAGCTTCACATTTTGGTCAGTAAAACGATTCAGAATAGTGTTTAAGTCTTGCCCATTGATTGTTGAGCTGTAAGAAAGCATTTTGCACGCTCTTTCCTTTCAATCAAACGGTGAAAATGTAAACTTGCTTACAGAAGCGTTTTTCTCTTTTCGTTTCGGCACTTCCGGTCACTTTCCGGGAAATTACATTTCGTATAAAACTTCCGGTTAGATTCTTCATTCAAGATGGCGACTGTCCTGTTAGCCAACAATGAAGAAATGAAAGGTTATTTTATGGCCAAAGTTTTTGGTCTTTTTCAACTCAAATGGCCCTGGCTCTTGACGAGGTAATCGTTGAATAGATCTTTTTTTTTCAGATTGACCTTATTAATTTTTCGTGAGTTTTCAAAAGACTCAACAGTCGACCAAAACATACATGTCGGATGTCGTTAATAGTGAATGCATGATGGCATTTATATTGCCACCAACCTCTAGCAACGCATTTCATAATGGATGAATCTTACATACATACATACACACATGCTTTATTTGTTAACGCAGGTTGGAGTAGGCAGCATGTGCACCTGCCTCCTAACACTAAAAACTTCATATAACAATCAATTACAGTCAAGTGTTTTGCTATAAGCATAAGAATATTTAGAATTAAGCTCTAAGGTATGCATGACACATTAAAACAATAGCAATTACGAATGCTTTGTTTTAAGCATAAGAATATATACAATATTAAAATCTAAGGAATATGAGATACACTTCACTTTATTCAGTAACGCGCTGTGTATCATAACTCAGTAATGGTCGGATTAGAAACTATCAAAAATGAATAAAAATGACATTCTTGTCAGTAAACAAGCAAGTGTGAAAATCACTTGCCTCCAGTAATCTTGTGTTTCTCTTAACTTTCTCTTTAAATAGTTTTAGGTTTGGGAGAACGAAGTGTGTTCCAGAGTACTAATCCCCTAATTGAGTTTCTGCCAATGGTCTGGTTAAATCTAGGTACATTTTCAGAGGATTTTTCGTACTGTGGTGTGCAGTACTATAGGCTTGGAGAATAGCTCACATATTGGTTCTGGGGCAAGATTGTAGTAAGTAGAGTACATAAGAGCCCCCAATTTCTGTTACAATAAAGTAATTGAAAGGTTGCTTGTGTGTCCTCTGCAGAACTTCGATCTGTACCAGTCATATTATCCGGCAAGGCATGGGTAATTCTGGCTGCTCTAATGTGTATTCGTTTCAAGATCTTGTAGCAGAGTAGGTGAGTGAGAGCCTCAGACAGTTGTGCAGTAGGTGGCACTTGGGACAATGCTAGTAAAATAGATAGCCTCAAGGACTTTCCTTATTAGGTAAAAAGAATAAGCTGTTTCAGATGTTTCACTTCCCTGCTGAAGCTTTTACATATAGAGTCAACTTGTGGGTGGCAGGACAGCCTCGAGTTGATCGTGATAGCTAAGGAGCTGCTAGGGTCCACATAGTTTAGGATCTTATAACCTAGCCAAAATTGATTGGAGAGGACCATATAGGGAATTATTGCTAATTATCATCATGTCCCACTTAAATCTGCTTTGCTATAGTTGCATTAACTTAGAAATGTAGATGTATTTAATATAGCTGGCTTCAATAATAATAATTGAAGCCAGCTATATTAATAAAAATGTTATCATACGCAACTTTGTAGTTGACTTTAGTAAAATAATGAGTACTTGTGCATTAGGTGGCAGTTTCATTATTAAAAATTGTTGCAAGAGAAGTTGCAGAAGGAGCTGTGAAACAATGTGCTTCTACATTCTGCACTGTATGCATTGAATTTAGTTTTTTCTGCAACTTGTATGGTGCAACAGGACTGCCTATTGCAAGTGATGTATGCTGCTTGCACCCAGCAAAAAATTAATTCTTTGTTGTACAGTTTGTCCTTTGATTGTATTGCAAAGTAAGTTGCACAAAACATCCTATATGTAACTTAAGTAAGTAGTTAATTCCTTTTTGTTTTTATCTTATAGGAATATTTACTGCTCCACCTGCTTATGAATATTTACTGGGCAAGCTTTTGTGATTTAGTCTGAAAGAGAAGAATATTAGGTTGCTTTCTATTGGTACCACTCATCTTTCCAATAACATGCAAAGGCAATCAAAAAGTACCCCAACTGTATCACTTCAATATGTTGGCATAAAACTTAAAGACCTAATCGTTCAGTACCTTCATAGTAACTCAAGCAATCATCTGGTAGTTGCTTGTGTACTAGGCAAGGAAGCAACCATTTGTGAGCTTAAACCGAAGGCACAGGAAATAAACTGTGGTGAGCCGAAGCTTTATGGTATGGCACCTTTACACCTGGCTTGCCTATTTGGACACCAGGAAGTAGTCAATACTCTTCTTGAGTATGGAGCAGATGTAAATTTGCGAGTCGAAAACACTGTTGCAAAGGAAACTCCAATACATATTGCAGCTGGAAATGGCTATGGTGAGATTGTGAAGGGACTACTTATAAAAGGTGCTGATCCAAATACTATTGCATCAAACCACTTGAAAACACCCTTGCATGTAGCAGTTAGTGAAGGCCACCTAGATGTCGTCAAAAGTTTACTCCTAGGTGGGGCAGTGACTGATGTTTCAAGACCTACTACGCTGAGTAAATTTGCCTCCTGGTGCAGTCCACTTCACATTGCATGTAGGAAAGGACATCTTGAAATTATTAAAGTCCTCATTCAAAATGGAGCCAAAATTGATGCCAAAACAGAAGACCCAAGAGGTGTTACTGCTTTGCACGAGTCTGTGAGCAGCAACCAAATTGATGTTGTGAAATATTTGATTGAGCATGGAGTGAAACTGGACATTTTTGATATCAGTGGTTTCAGTCCATTACACGCTGCTGCAAAACATGGTTATACAGATGTAATGGATTTGTTGTTAAAGGCAGGCATGACAGCTGACCTCTATTGTGTTGACCCAATACATACACCCCTTGTCACTTCAATCATATCTGGGCAATATAGTTCTGTCAAAACTCTCCTTGAGGCGGGTTCGAAAGTGGATGGTGTTCTGAATGATGGTGCACCATTGCATCAGGCCATACGTCGCGAGCCCACCAATCTTCCCATCATTGAGCTTTTGGTTTCATTTGGTGCCAGTGAACATGTTCCTGATGAAATAGGCTATTTCCCTCTCCACTGTGCAGCATACTATGGACAGTATGAAATAGCAGACTTTTTCCTGCAGCGTGGTCACAATCAAAACCAGTTGTCTGAGAGTCCTGACGACATTGGTCAGTGTGAGACAGCCCTTCACTGCGCCATCTATGGTGACAACCCGGATGTCGTGCGGCTTCTTGTCAAGGCAGGTGCTTGTGTAAACTCTCAAGCCCAGCCTGGAAAACAGACACCTATATATCATGCTGTATTAAACCGGAAGATTGGAATCGTAGATCAATTGATCAGTCTTGGTGCAGACGTCAATTTTACAGATGCATCTCATGCAACACCACTTCATCATGCCGTATGTGGTCAAAATAATGAAATTGTAAGAATGCTAATTCAAAATGGTGCATTTCTAGAGGCCAAGACTCTCTGCGATGACTTGACCCCTTTGCATATTGCAACAATAGATGGCACAGATGACTCTGTTATGTTGTTGATTGACTTGGGCGCATCTGTAAACGAATCATCTGCACATGGTGAAACGTCTTTACATTTCGCTGCTGAATTAAACTTTGTCCAGAAAGCTGAGACCTTTTTACAAAATGGTGCAGATGTGAACTCAAGTGATTGCAATGGAACTACTCCCCTACATCTTGCATCAGGAAAAGGATATGATGCCTTGGTTAAGCTTTTGTGCAAACAAGAAGAGGTCAAAATTGATTTAGTGGATTGTGATGGCATAACACCCTTGCACTTGGCTGCTTTCAATGGTCATAAAACAGTTGTCCAGATCCTTCTCGATGCAGGCGCAGATCATAACATGACGTGCAATGGGGAATCAATTTGCAACATATGCTGTCGGAGAGGTTCTACTGATGTGACACAACTTTTATCAGGATTCCAGGCAACTACGCAATCTGTCAAAAATAGTGAGCAAACTCATTCCGTGACTCTGCCAAGGTATTTAATGACAGTCTTAGATACAGATGGCATCGGAAGGAGTCCACAATCAAATCAGGCACGCCATATTATCTGCGTTGTAACTGCTTTCATAAAAGACCTGATGAAAGCTGTTGGAGAAGCTGACCCACGTTTTGCTTGTGAAGTCACCTTATCAGGGAGTAATGCTGAATCCTGCAAAGTTGGGGAGCCCAATGAGTTCGACTTTATGTTCTATTTGCCATCCTTAGCTGAAAACTTTGCACCATCCTATACCCCTGACGACGCGCCAGGCTACTGCAAAGTTGAATTTAAAAAAGGCAAGGACAGTGAACTCGTGAGAGACTTGTTAAAGGATGGCAAATATCTCTTCCCGCAGAGAATCAAAGCCTGTCTCTTCAGCTTGATTGAAGATGTATTCTTATCTAAGAGGGTCAAGGTTCCACAAGAAATTCGCTTTTATCTCCAGGAATTTTTGCCAAACAGTAGTAAACATAGAATAGTCAGTGAAATCAAACCGGGTTTTATTTTGCACTTCGAATGGAGACGGGGATTGTACACAGGTATGCAGATAACAGCTGACGTGATTCCTACTCTGCCCTTTGCCTATCATAACGAGGTTTCACTGAATTACACCACCCAATCGCGAGACGTCTTGTCAGGAATGGAAAACTCGGGCGCTGCTTTGGAAGCTAGTTTATCCACACTGTATCTAATCCCAACACCAATCTCAAGGCATGCTACACATTCCTTTGAAAACGTAGTTTGGCGCATCTCTACTTCCAAACTGGAAACGAAGATCCTTCGAGGAGTAGCTGAGTGTAAGAGGAACACATACATTCTTGGAAAGGTCCTTCTACAACGCAGTGGACAAGTGCCTGATACAGATGGACTTGGATCTTGTGCATATTATGTACACACCTATCTTTTGAAAACTGCATTTCTGTATGAACTGGCAAGAGTTCCAGCGGACGAAGAATGGGAGAGAGGTAACGCCGTCACCAGGTTGTTGCAAATATTTGAACTCTTAAAGAAGAACATCAAATCTGGATGTGTGAATTCCTTCTTCTTCAAGGAATACAATCTTGTTGTCACTGAGAACACCGTAACCGAGATAAACGCTAGAATTTGGATAATAGATGCAATACTGTTATTTCTTTCTGGCAAATATGACTTGCAGCTGGAACAAAACGAACCCCAGAGTCTTGAAAAGATGCTACAAGATCAAAGACCAGGGTCTATTTCCACCAGGGAGGTGAATAAGTCACAAAGGCAAGAATTGTCCAGCTCTAAGAATTTACTCTCTTAGGATCTAGAGCTGAAGTGTCAATGTTGTGGAAATGTTTTGCTTGTAACTGTGGTGGGAACGCTATGTTAACTATGATGTGTGTTAAATTTCAGTATGGGAGAAGTCTGGAGCCAAGAGATAAAAGTTGCTCCTTTTGTCAAACCAAAGATATGTTATACGTAAAAGCAAAGGTTTCAGTTTGGTTTAGACCAACCAATTTTCCTATGAATAGAGTTAATTAACTAAATAAATGAATGAATACAAAATAACCAGGAATAACTCTTGGCAGGAGAGAACAGAACTTTTGTCCCTGTCGACACTTAGCACCATAAATACGTTTCAGTTCTGTTGATTTCTTAATTTTAGTAACGTACGTACGTTTGTTTTGATAAAGGTTAAGAATCGCGTTGAAATAGTGGAGGGTCAAAAGCACTTAAAAAGGAAATAATCGCAAACAAAAAAAAGTACTCAAACACGCAAAGCTCGCGTGATCTGAACTTCAAGACTTAAGGTTGCTCCGCCATTAATACTGGAGCATTTAGCTGTGACAAATTTCCCGTCATAACTTTTTCGTTTTTAACGCGATGGCTGCGAAACTTTGCAAAGAACAACCGAAGTCATTCGGTAATAATGTGAAATATTTCAATTTCATTGATGGTAAATATTTCTTGAGAAATTAGCACTTAAAAGAACCTTGCTGTTCAAAGTGCTGGACAGTTCTATCTGAGCTTCGATACAAGGTAGCTTATAATCCCACTACCTTTTTCCTGAATTGGAAGCAACGTACAGCAGGGAAAAGCCGTTGAGGATGCATTGCAATGCATCAAAATGTATGTAGCAGGAGTTTGAACCAAAACTGCCAAGGGATATTTTAAAAAAGTCGAGGAACAAGTCATTCTACTTCAGAGCAAGGTTTGGAGCAATTTATAGTGCTTCTAAAACTAAAAAGTACCTGTTAAAGAATAGCACGATAGGCAATCGGCTTTTGTTTTAAGAATTAGCAAACATTGAATTTCCTTGTCCGAAAATTCAAACTGGTGTCTCTTACTACCTGATAGCAATTTATTTTTGAAATTGCAAAACAATTTCACAGCTGAATTTTGAGCGACTATTAGTTACGGACTTCTGCTCGAACGATTTTTCTGAAATTCCTCTGGCATATTTATTATATCAACTAGGAGTAATCAGAGCTTAGGAGAGTGCGTTCGATGTTTGTTAGGCGTACAAGTAGCAGTTGAGGGGGAAGGGTGGTTGCGATATAGATAAATATGATTATGGCATATTTTGAACGTAAGGGTTGCGTACAGCGAAACCTCTATTTAAACTGTGTATCATTATAAGAAGGTTTTGAAAAGATATCGTATGTTTCGGTGTCAAGTGCTTGTCACCGCGAGTGCGTCGGGCGTGTAAATAGAACATTTTGTTTTACTGGCGCGAGTTACAGCGCGGCGCAGTTGCTCAAGGGCCGAACAGTGCTTAACCCGGGATTCTTTTTCTTTCTTCCAAAACATTTCTTCGGATAATTTTCTCTGTTATTTTTAAGACCATCCAATCGTCCACTTTTTGACAAAATGAATTACATTGAATTTACTGCTTTAAAAGCTTTCACATCTGAATTCAAACTTCGCACTAACCCTGTCAAAGCCTTCAATGGAATGTGTGTGCGGCTCACGTCAATAACTTTTCCAGTAATTTGGTCGAGCGTGTTGATTTCAGTGACTCGAGAGTGGCGCTACTGTGGGCTGGTTTACAAGTTTTTCCTAATGAATAACAGAGTTCAAGTGTTCGTTTGTCCGGTGCCGAAAGTATCACAAGTCATGATCCAATGGCGCCGCCGAGCTATACACAACTCCGTAGATTTACTTTGTGGCACAACGGCCGCCGAGCTACACAACTCGGTAAATTTACTTTGTGGCACAACGGCCGCCGAACTAAACCCGCCTTGATGTATGCACCAGGAGTCGCAGACATTTTCCAAAGACAGTGACGAACCATGTTGCAAAATATGAAGGCTTAATCCAAATTAAAATTTAACAGTAAACTTCTGAAAGATGAACGCTTTGGACGATTCAGCAAACACAGATGGATGTACGCTCTACGAAGATTCAGCAAACTTTTTAAAAGATCAACGCTTTACGAAGACTGAATATCAGACCTCAGACTGAAAACCTTTGAAAACGTGGGCAATCGCCTCAAAGCGAGGCAAATGTGTGCCGACGACGAGAATGCTGAAAATGCAATCTCAAAAAAACCTCCCTTATTAATTGCACAGGACACCCAATAATGCACAAAACACCCAACACAAATTAGGGGTTGCGTTCTCGTACCTTGAACGCAATTAAAGCCGATACCAGAAATTTCAGTAAAAAACATCAGCAATTTTTTTACTAGACGCGATTTTCTTTGAACAGTAAGGTCCTTCTAAGCGCTAATTTAGCAAAACATATATATTTACCATCAATGAAATCAGAATATTTCGTACTATTACCGAATGATATCTGTTGTTCTTAGCAAAGTTTCTCAGCCATCGCGTTGAAAACGAAAAAGTTATGACGAAAACTTCGTCACAGCTGAATGCACCTGTATTAATGAGACGGAGCAACCTTAAATATTCGGGAAGGAAGGCTCGCTTCTGTAAGGTTATCCAAGAAAGTTTTGGAGGCTGGATTTCACCCTGTGGATTCCGGTTTCATAACGCTCTACTAGTTATTCAAAATTTACATAACGCTTGTACTCCATTGTAATTGACAATCAGTCAACTAACTTATGAACGTAATACCACTGGTAACTAAAGCCTGGCTATGCTTACATGAAATAACGGGGTTTTATGACCTTTTTGCTGTTTTGTACAGCCCAACAGCTAAGAGAGATAACTTTTTTATATTGCATCTAGGATATCACCAATAAAAATCTATTTACAAAACTATTTACCATCACGTGGTCAAAAAATAAAGGAAGTATTTTCGTAAGGAACCTAATAAAATTTACTAGGCTATAAAAACAAGAATCTAGATTATAGTATAGTACGCTATAAAAACAACAGCGGAACGTCCCTAGCAACGAGGAGTGAGGAGAGACGGCTGATTTCGTTGGCGAAGGAATAGGGGTGTAAACAGTACATGTAAGGAGTTCCCAATTTCTTGTTTATTACGCAGATAAAACAAGGTAAAAAGTAAACATTCTGCAGGCCTATATATAACACAAGAGTTATAACTGTCCTGGAGTTGATATTTTTGGTTTATCCTTTGGAAGGGAGATTTTCTTCGTCACGCAATCCTCGGCTTGTTCGTCACCGTCTACTCAGTTATTTCGACTATCCATCAATTAGCAATTGTGTGATGGTAAAAATAGCGTGGAAACCAAAGGCTGTGGTTTACTGTGACAATAAACTGCTAGCTTCAGGTAAATATCTTGGACCTTATTCAAGCTTTTCTGGTTATGAGAAATACCTTGATCTTAAATTTTGCTTATTTTACTTGATAAGGTTTATTAAGACCTCCTCTGGATGAAGTATTATCTCCTTTACTTTTTTAGCCAATTCATCACACCTTTGGCGACCGAAGAATTCGAACAAATTTAAATGTGTCATGAAGTAATGAGGGCAGTTGAACTGTCTCAAACAGTCTTCCAGTCTCTGCAGAAAGCTAACGAATCTCTCACTTAAACTATCATAGCTCCATTGGTTTGGATGTGGATAAGCTTCACATTCGTGTAAGAAGATGGTTTTGAGGTGATATGATGTCAATGGATGAAGATGCAACTCCTCTCTCAGGGCCTTCAAAATTCTTAAAACCTGTTTGCGGCAAGAGCTGGCTTCATCGTAGCCTCCGAGGAGAAACAGCTTTTTTTCAGCTGCAGAGAAAGAAAATCTCCAGAAAATTCCGTTTTCATCTTCAGGAACGTTGTCTCCTTTTGGTTGTTTTGCAACAAGATGACAACCACCGTCACGAATTTCTTGTAAGAGCAGTGAATTAGGCCAACCTAAATTACCAAATAGAAAAATAACAACAATTGTTACCAATAAAACGAGTATTCTCCCTGTGAACATGAGTTTCTGCATCTGCATGGCTCAAACGATAATCCCAGTGGTGTCTGGGGGGATCCTCAGAGGGGCAACGAACTTCTGTAGAACTGAGAGTATGTATAGGGAGGACTATCTACATTTACCGAATCATTAGCAACATGAAAGTGAAAACATATAAGGAAAAAGGCACTCTTTTACTCAACACAAATAAAGCGACAGGGAATTCACCAGGATACCTTTTTGCTACGGGAGATTACGTAAACTGTGCTTACCTCGGGAGAAACCCAGGCTAGGTCCCGGTCGCCTTGTAATCCACTCAATGGCTTCATCGGGCCAGTCAATGAATTTGATAGCCAAGGTCAAGTCTACAGAATACTTTGTGCCATCATTTGTGTTGGTTATGTACAGGGTGATTGCTGGACCATGTGACTTAACAGCAACAAATCTGAAGATGGGAATTAGCAGGGAAGGAATTCATCTTTTTATTGTCAGTGTCAAATTTGGAGGTCGTGGGTTTGACTAGCACCGAGATTTTTAAAATAATTTCTTATCTCAAGCTGAGCTCCCTCATTCTCTATGCTCCCACGAACGCTCGGTGGGAATTTCTGAGATTATGCGTGACTGTTAAATTTAAATGCTAAGTTAATTCTCTCTTCTATCATTTGAGTTACAAGTGCTGCTCGGCTCAACATTTTAAAGTAACATTCATTTCCTCTCTTTGCCGCCCTTCACTACCATAATGGTATCCCCTGACCTGTCCGCATCAGGTCATCTCGCTCAGTCAGATCAACCACAGTAGATCTAACGCTGAGGCCATGAGTTCAATTCCCACCACGGTTCAAAGAGTTTTTTTCTTTGCTTGACCGTGTGGTTTTCATAATTCGAGATGCTTTAACCCAAAATAATCGTTTTTTTTTTCATTTGATAGTTCAATTCAAATCCTTTATTCATTATTCTGCTCGGGATCCACTCCGAAACTGTTAATTGTCGTAGACGACTTTAACGCCCAACTTATGCAAGAGAAATAGATCTTTCAATCGATAACCAACTGTTGGCGGTTTAATCTAGTCGGCCTGAGGGAAAAACGACAAGAAAACATGTATCTTTCACAACAAAGTGGGATGAACAATTTTGTCCAGTGAACAAATAAAAGCCTAATGAACTCCCAGCAAAAGGCGAAAACGGAGGATTAAGAGCAAACTAGCGGCGAGCAGGGAAAGCCTGAACTAAAAAGCTGTAATTTAGCAATCTGTAAAAAAGGAAGAACCCTCGTTTTTTACCTTCTTGACGTAAAGCTTTTGCCGTTTTTTGTTAATGGTTATACTGGAACACGAGGCGGATTACATTTTTGACAAAGGCCCATGGCTACTATGGTATCTCTTGTTTAAAGCTATGGGAAACTGAGATAGCTTAATGAGACTGCTTACAGTCAAACCAGGTCAAGCGTTCCCGTCGCTACCGAACTAATGAATTCATTCACGGAAAAATGATTTCGTTTGTTGATTCAATAATCCATTCATAAAATGAGCAATCCAATAGTCATATTTAGCCTCGATTCCATAATCGAATGTTGATTCGATTACTGTTTTTTGAAAAATTACACTTTCCACAAGTTGACCTCAGAATTTTCTGTTTTCCTCTTTTTTTTTCTGAGAGTCGAGTGCTGGCGAGTTCTGAAGTTCAAACCCAAACAAACTGTTACATGTACGCCAGTTTGCTGCCAATAATCATTGCAACAGACCTAGGCCTGACCTCTTAGAAAACACGACGGTCAAACTGAGGTCAGTGTATGTGCGGTGATTGGTGGATTTCGATCCTCGGCCTTTGTCAGTTTCTTTGCGTTTGCGGTCTGTCTATTCTAGCTGTTATTTTTATTAAAGGCAATGAAAAACGCAATCGTAAACAGCAGGAAAAGGGAAGCAAATACGATTGAACACAACAGACAAGAATAAAGAACAGGTAGATTTTGTTCATAAACCAAATCAACATTTGATTATTGAATCGAGGTACAATTTGACCGTTGGATTATTCATTTTATGAATGGATTATTGAATCAACAAACGAAATCATTTTTCCATTAATGAATTCATTAGTTTGTTAGCGACGGGAACGCTTGACCTGGTTTGACTGTAATAGCTTAATATTAGCCAACGTAGCCGCAAGGAGGACGGTGAGACGCGCGCATAATCGCGTAGTTCCAGAAGAGGTCTATAGTGGTACGAGACTATTGCACACAAGGAAAGAGAACACACGTTCTGCGCGCGCATGGCTTTTCTCGAGCCATATATATTTTTTTAATGCACGAATGCTTGTCCGCCTCTGTTTAAAAGAGTCTTGTTTGCTTACCTTGAATTAAAACCCAGATTTACAATGGCTTCGCCAACAAGCCCTCTTAAGACTGCTTTAACTTGTGAAGCGTTTAACATTTCCTGTGTGAGACAGCTATCACGCTTCCACTTAAGACGGTTAGCTTCAATATTGATTGATACTCGAACAAATCCTAAACACAGAAAAAAATAAGGAACATAACCTCATTTAAAGACATGTCACAAGGTTTAATTGGAACTATGATTTTGTCGAGTAGTATAAAAGTACTGAAGATAACTCTTAGATAAAGACAACACGATGGAATTCCGATGTATAAAACTCTTTGCTTAGAAAGTGGATACGCTTTTAGGTACGTTTTATCAGTGTCTTGGGTAAAAGACCTTGTCACGGTTTTGGAAGCCATCTTGACAACCGCGTGAGAAATTACAGAGTTTGTATGAGAATCTACGGTGCGTTCGATAGGGAGATCCGGATTTAGATTTTCAAAATCTAAATCCGGATTTCCCAATCGAACGCGAAATCCGAAAACGGATTTCACCTCTAAGAAATCCGTCCTCAGGGTGGATTTCAATTGAGAAACCCAAATCCGGGTTTCATTGATTTCCTTTTTACGGTTCGATTGGGAAATCCGAAAAAGGATTTGCAAAACTATTCTCGTGAACAGTGGTCTTCCTTTTGCTCAGTATACGTGCGCGTGCAAGACCGCTGTTCTTACAGACAGTTTTTAAAATCCTTTTTCGGATTTCCCAATCGAACGGTAAAAATGAAAATCCAAAAACAGACATCTCAGCCTTGAAATCCTTTTTCGGATTTCGCGTTCGATTGCAAATCCGAAATCCGGATTTTAAAATCTTACTCCAGGTTTCCCACTCGAACGCACCCCTAATGTCGAAAAAGACACTATGGCGCGTACACTTCGGAGTGTGGAACTGATTAATTGTAACTGCGGAGGAATAGTAAGAAATGAAATATGGTAAGACTAAGGTGTTAATTTGTGAAATTATGGGATTTGTCAGGATATTCTGAAAAGAGTAAGATCCAAGAGGCCTACTTGCCAAAAACTAGCATTTCGGGGCAAATGGTCTCTGAGATATTAGCCCAGTTATGCTCTGATGACTCCATACAAATAATTACGCGGGATGACGTAGTCAGCCAGCGTCTAAAATTCGGTAGCGCATTCCTTTCGTCGTCTTGGGAGTCAAAAATTGCCTTGTTTTTTTAACTTTCCCGTATCCCGTGCCCGTCCCGAAAAATTGTGTGGATTTTTATTGGCCGCAACGACGAAGCACGTGCAAGTCAGGCTGGATTGCACAAGCCGATAAAAGATACTGCGTCAGCAAAGGAGGGAAAAGTAAGCTCACTGTGTAGAGGAGGACGAAGACTCAAGCCCGTGCTCTTTATACGGCGCAAGACTTGGCCTCGGGCGACTGAAAATATTGTCTAGGTGGCCCAGCCGGGCGACTTGCTGGTGTTGGTTTCTTGTTTCTGTTGATGAGTTACAGTCAAAAAGCTAAGAATGTCTAGAATTTATTACTTGCGAAATCGTAGCTCTCTCGGTGGCTTCGCGGCCTAAAAGGAACGCTCCTCTCGCTAAGAAACTCTTGAGGTCGACTCTGTAAGTAGCAATAAGTAGCATGTCTATCAAAAAGCTTTAGGAAAATGTTGTTAAATCGGGCAGCGAGCACGCGTTGATGTTCAAAGGTCGTTTCACGTAAATTCACATGTAACATAATCCTTGACTATGAACGTGACAAGCTGCACAGTTTTCGATAGTAACAGCTTTTCATGGTGAAATTGAAGTTTTTTCTTCACATTAGGATTGTTCATTAGTTAGTTTTTCAAAACAAGTTGTTACTTTTGCTCTGACAGGCGTGAAGTACGGTCGGCGACGCAAAACAATAGTTTTGTATTTTGAAAAATCGCTGAATGAACAAGGGGTCGGTCTTTTATGTTCTTTAAATATTTTTACCTTTTTTTACTGCTGTGTCTGCGAGGATAAAACATAACTAAGATTGTTATTCCAGTAAAATACGATGCATAAAAAAAGAGAGACGACTATTATAATTGTGATTGTTCTAGAATCGGGTGTAAATCCCGCATTGTCTTTCGTGTCGTGACAAGGCATTACGTATCACGTACTAAAAATAAATACGCAAAAGCTAACCGAATCTACATTTGTCCTGAACATTTCACCGGTAGTATAGAAAGAAAATATTTCCGTTTTGCGCTTAAACGACGACTTTACAACAAGATGATCTATTCAAAAGAGATAATAGTTTTGGGGCGGCCCTCGGTGGTGGGGGTGGGGTGGGGGGGGCGCTTCCTTATAGAGAGGCTAATGGGGATGTGGCGCTGGATGGGGTCGCATTTTCACGACTAGATCGACTATTAATGGGGTTGCATTTTCAAAAGAGTTACTAGAATGGGGTCGCACATTGTCGGATTTTTGGGGTAAGAGAGCTGTTCATATTTACGGTTAGCAAACCTATCAGGATATTTGTACTGTAGGTGAAAAGTAAAGTGTTCTTCATTCAATTTATTTAAAAATGGGTCAATTCATTTTTTGATGACCTATTTAAAGGATTGATAAGGTCAGGAGATAAGGTAGATACATAAATAGAAAATGACTAAGTTGTGATCGCAAAAATTACATATTTCCCCAAGCGTGACTAATATGGGGTCTACAATTGGCCACAGAAAAGACTATAATGGGATAGGGGCTCTGAGAGGCCAGCGGCACATACCCAGCAAAAATTAACGCAAGTAACCCCCGGGGGGCGCCGCGGTTTCGTTGAATTCATAACAGTTTTCCTGGAAAGCTCCACGGGATCTCAGTCAATCTTAATAAGCGAATTTTCTTTTCAACCTAAATCAAAATGATTAGTAAAAAGAATAGTGCCCTTAATTTTGACCCCAAATTTACTTTTCCATTTAAAAAACATGAAATGTTCGGCGCGTTGTCCATGTTTCTCATATGGCGCGAAAACTTACTTTCATTTGACAACATGCGGGTTTTTTTTTTTTTTCGCACGCTCAGGAGGTCAAAGGGATGTGATTTTTCATGAAAAAAATATTCACAAAATTCTGCTTGACTTGTTAAGAAAATCATTTGTTTAATTTTTCATAATTAACTAACAGCTCACTGATTTATTAATTTGGGCGACCAACTTAGAGGCCCGGACACCCCAGCTAAAAATGCTTGGGGAGCCCAAAGGGGTCTCTGAAATTTTCCCTACAGCACTTCCTTGCAGCCCTGTAGTTATTGGAAGTATGATACATTACATGCTATTGTTAAATGTGGAAGTGCATTTTTTGAGTACATTAGTAAAGGAATGCAAATGTTAGTGAACTACCCCATACTCCTAACATATGGTGGTAATATTGATGTAAGTTTTGTTTTGAGTAGCAAAGGAACCCTTGTGTGTAACTCATCTTCTAGTGTATTAGTCCTTAACAGAACATCTCCGTCTCTCCTGCTCACATTTGTTGCATACACTACTCAACTTCCATTTCCATCCAACATACCCGTAATTCTTTCTTAAACCCACACATCCCGCGTAAGCGCCTTCGGGCGTCTTCTTGTTCTAAATTTGACTTGGCTCTAAACGTTTAAACCTAAGTCAAATATGGGGTTACTGGCGGTGAATAACAATTCTCTATTTTTCTTAGTCACATCAGGCTTAAAAAACAGCATAGCAATCTCATGTACTGATTAAAGATATGTAAGGCATTGGTAAGGAGTCAATTACGTTGCGCATGGAATTGGCTAAAACTTAATGTTCCGAGTTCGAATGTTTTGAGGATAATTATTCACTGACTATCAGCACGCAGGGATGTCGGATTAACACAAGGAAGTTTAATACCAGAGGAACATAGCCAACACAAACTTGACTTGAACTTAAGTAAAACTAAACAACCTCTGCCAATAATAACAAACTCTCACTTGAACTTCAGATATCTTACGGCTTCAGCCAAATCGTAAACACAGAACTTGAAAATCGACCTTCGTCACACTTGACTAAACACAGCAGTCCAGCTCGTGGGAAAAAAATTAGTTCTTCAAAAGAATTAACTTGGAACTTGTATACCGTTTGACATAAGGTTCTAGAAAATACTACACAGGCGAATAGTAGTAGCTTCTCGACATATTTTATGATTTCAGTAACTGAAGCAAATCTGCTGACTCATTCTGAAATATAAAAATGCCCTAATTAATTATTCATGAAAAATCCAAAAACGTACAGAACGTTCGAGAAAGTCACGCAACGCATGATTTTACTACGTAACACTCAACAAAGACAAAATGTCTTTGTGCAGCATTTTGTAACTTTAAATTCATCATAAAACAGTTCGAAAGGAGGGCTCACTCGTGAAATGGTTTTCAACACTCGAAGAGAAATTTCGTGTCTCTAGGCCACCATACTAGTCCGGTCTCATTTCGTGAAATAGCCGAAACAAGCCGAAAAGTCACGAACTTGCACGCCCAATCTTTTCCCGAAACTAAATAGTGCATCACTTCATAACTATTTTTCATATGCCGAATAACCTTGGGTTCCAGTAGCGCAATCGGCTAATCCCTCAACTTAGAGTCTCCTCTGATCTGACGGGTCACACAGGTGAGTCGCTTCAAACCGCGGGAAAGTCAAAATAATAATTCTTTCTTCCTCAAAAAATTTAAAGAATAAATCAAAGAAATCGAAGTAATCTCGAGATATCTCGAACTAATTCGGCTTTCACTTCGTCAAATAGCCGAATAAAACCGAAAACCTACAGACTTTGCGTGCCCAATCGCATGGCATACAGAAAGGTTACTACTTCATGTACGGTACACAAATAGTAAGCGTTCCCGTTCGTCAATAACTCTTGCCCATAGTAGTCCAGCAACCACTAAGCTAAGAATAATTAATGGACTTGATCAGTTCGTTACCTAATCACGTGATTCGTGAAATGACTCCAAAAGAGGAAACGTGATTCGTGAATGTACGGAAATTTAACCCGTGATTCGAGATCCGGACACCCCCTTCCAGACCCTGTGTACATATGCAGTCTGTAAGAAAGCCCCGGGAAAAATTAAAGACAAATGTATGGAAAATCTAAAACAAGCCTCTGGAGAAATTTAAGCACAGGTTCGCCACCAAGATTTTTTAGTACAATCCGTTGCTTTGTACCTTTAGGTCCCAATTCATATTGTTTTCAGAACAGCCGTTTTACGGAAATTATTCGACATTAGATTATCATACAAACACTGTAATTTCTCATGAGGTTGCCTAGTCGTCAAGATGGCTTCCAAAACCGTGACAAGGTCTACCTACATTCGACATACTATAATTGGCGCATAATTGGGGCTATATTAATTTCGTACTATATATCTATGGATGTTTACGTTGTTATTGGGTGCGGTTCTATATATGAGCGCTTCGCTGAAAGTAAAAGACATTTGTCGATGTGACTTGACATCAATTTCACTTAATGATAGTTTTAACTAAAAGACACTATCGATTACTTCGCTGGTTACACCCATGTTTTAGAACAAGATGTGACAAATCATAGAGGGTATTAGCGGATATGGCACGTGTTCGCTAATCCAACTGTTCGTTGCCTCTGGACACGATTGGAAAAGCTAGTTGATGAAGAACACATGATTAACTTGGTGAATTGAAAAAAGCGAATAAACCTGATGCACTCACCTAATGGTGTATAATCTGTTGCGCTGTTTCCTTTGGGTCTGTAACCAATGTAACGAACAGGTAAATCCTCCATGACCAGCATCAAATCAAACTCGTTGGGCGGTCTTCGGCCTCATGGGCTATTGACCCAGAGCCCATTCGCGCTCGAGGAATAATTGTTAAATATGACCGTACCAGCCTCATAGATCCAGACACACCAGTCATGATCTCGTACTGATCATCCCGACCTGGTCATGCATGTCCTGCCATAAACTACTTCAAAGTCACCTTCTTCGTCACTTTCATTATCTGAATCAGTCTCTTAGTTATCTGGTTGTTGTATGCCCTGTATCTTGTTGTTGGCCTAAGTTTCAATCCATTTTCGATCCTTGCAATAAATGGCGACTCATCTACGAAAGATCGAAGCAACTCTGCCAGCAGGGTATTGCAACAGACGACGGGAAACAGTATCAATGCCAAAATATAGTCTTAGATAACAAAACTGGACCAGTATTTTTGGAATTCAATTGATGTAAGAAAAAAAGTTTTAGCTTTTAAAAAAGATAGCAAATAGCATGACATAGTCCCGTGAAGCTGGTGGCAAAGATCTCGCTTTATCTCGAGTACTTGATTCACTTCTTATAGTTCGTTGAAAAACAAGTCGAAAGTTCTCTATCTTTTGTCACTGTTTGCACCGATGGGAGAGACATAGTTTAGAGAGCTGACAAAGGTATGAAAGTATTATTAACATGGGACAATTCGACTTTTCGTGAGTGTAGCCCACTTCGAATTCGTCGTTATTTTAAGTGATTCCTTCACTGTGGTTCCAAAGTCTTGGGCATAGTTCAAAGCACTAAATGTTTTGTGTTGAAGTGAGAAACCGCGTGTTTTTGTACCTTGATACAGACTTTGTCGACATCCTCTTTCGCGTCCCTCGATGTTACGTTTTTCTTGCGCTTTTGAAATAGGCAATGCGCTTTTGAAATAAAATACTTATTTCAAAAGCGCATTGCGTATTTCAAAAGCGTCAGAAATATATCCAAGGGTTTTAAGAAATGAAACTGTTTCAGAAAGAGCAGTTTAAACACAATCTTAATAGTCTCAATAGTTAGAACTGCAACATTAGTTACAAAAATTATTTCTCCTAAGTACAAATTCCATGTACCTAAAAGAAAGATGCAGATTTCTTTCCGGTGTGTGTGTGCGTATGTGTGTGTGTGTGTGTGGGGGGGAGATTATTGCTGGATATGTGCTCTCAGAGCCCCTACCACATTATAGTCTACTCTATGGCCAATTATAGACCCCACCTTAGTCACTTTTGGGCATGCAAATGTAATTATCGCGATCCCAACTTAGTCACTTTCTATTTATTTACCTACCTTATCAATCCTTTAAATAGGTAAGTTTGCTAACCGTAAATATGAAGCCTTCTCACTTCTCACTTCTTACAAGGAAGTACCCCCCCCCCCCCTGAACGGGATTTCTTTGAGCCATCAGAATTTCTTTTTGGCCAGATGTAATAAGAGTCGCAGCTTTTTTCTTTGGGTAGTAAATGCTTAACTTGACGATCTTTTGGGTCCGTGAAAAGAGTATTTTCCTTTTCCGTACACCAAAATTTTGTTAGTATTAGAGGACGAATTATATTCGTTGAGTTGTCTACAAGCAGCTCTATGACTTACGCTCTCTGTTTGTCGAGTACTGGCCTGGTGTGCCTTTTGCACATAGTAATATCAGTTAATGTGTCACCGGGTCATCAGCGGGACAGAAAAAAGTCAGAAAATATAGCATTTCTGTTTGCAAAACTTTGTTGCTTTCGTAACATCAACAATCTGTATTCAGTATAATTAATGGAATGTCATCACTTCACTGTGAACTTTTCATTTCTCAGTTAACTACTAAAATTCCGCCAATTATCAACTACTGTTTTTTTGGCCAAATATCAGTTAACCGCTAACCCCATTGGCATTCTCAATTAAAATATAAACAGTTTCAAAACATGACAAAACAGTGCTTCATCAATGTAAATTATACACAATCCAAAAGAAAAGCAGCGTGTTTCTGCACTCATGGTTATCTCAGGTTATTTTATGAGCATATTTCACATGATCTTCGTATAAGGAATAAGTGAATTTTCTAGAAAACTAAAGATTCATTATTCAAGTACATTTACTCATATTCAAACTAGATTTTCAAATATTCAAACTAAATTTTCAAGTATTCAAACTATTAAAGCTAAAGTCAATATTCAATATTCAATTTTCCGCTTCCACCCTCGAAAATATCACGTACAAATCATGTTATTATTCGTTTATACTACTACCCGTAAAAAGGTTTGTAATTTTCACATGTAGATATTTCAAGTTAAGCAGAAATCCCACTGCATGGCTTCATGAGAGGCTTCTCTATTGAAACCCAGCTTATCTAGTTGTCTTCACTGGATGAGCGGATCATGACAGATGCATGTACTCTAGATTGACTCTCCTAAATTTTTCCACATAGTCCCCCACCAGAGACTCCTAATCAGGCCTAATTATTATGGCATCGCTATCATTAGTCTGCGTTGGATTGAGAAATTTCTGTTGAACCGCAATCAGTACATTAAGGTTGCGGGTAAAAATTCTTCTTGTCTTCAATGTCACCTCTGGCATCTCTCAAGGTACCGTCCTAGAACCCCTTTTTTCAGTGACATTGATCCTAACCTCAATTTCAAAATGATAAGTTATTTGCTGATACTGTTCTCTATATGTACTACCGTAAATCCTCTATTAAGCCCTCCCCCTTTCAATTAAGCCCCCTCCCTCTAATAAGCTCCCTCTAATTTTCAGGGAAGCACGTTAATAAGCCCCCTTCCCTCCCCTTATTATTTTTCACTAATGTATAGATGGTTTTCACAGTGACGTCATCAAATTTTAAAGTCAAAATAGCGAAGTTTTACGAATTCTTATTTACCCTAGGTTGAAGATAAACAAAAAATAAATCTTTGCACAAGTTTCCATTACCGTAGCATTTTTCATTTCGAAAATACAGCATTTGAACTTCAAAGTTTTCACAGCGCGTGACACCAAAAATGAGGAATGCTGTCTCGTTGAAAAAAAGTCTCTCCTCTCGATTTGTAGCAGTATAACCATTTGAGGTATTAAAAGATATGTTTATGCGCACGTATGCTAGTTCTCGATTGAAAAGAAAGAGCTTTTATAGCAAAAGTGAACTCCAGATGTTTTTTGTTTGGTGCACCAAAACTGTACACCACTATGGCGGCTCCAGGCTGTACAAAGGTGCATGAAACGTTTCGGCTAATTACTCAGAAACTGGGGGCCACAAAGACCTGAGACTTGGACAAATTGTTTATATATTAGTCTTTTATAACACTACATTTTCTTGGCTTCTTCCACAGGACGGTTTCCAATGTATTTTTTTGTTGCGTGACAGTGAAAACGATCTTTTAATCAATCACGACTGTAAAAGTTCATGTAGACTGATCCAGGATAGTTTATTTACCAACTGGAAGTTTGGATTTGATTCTGATCCTCGGCTGCATGACCTAAAACGTATTGTACATTAGCTTTTCCGGGCTTTTCCACCTTGTATTCTAGTTCTTCATGGAAAACTGATACCATCGTCGTTTCTAAATATACTTACAAATAAGCCCCGCGTCTCTATTAAGCTCCTGCTCAAATGGACTTGGAATAAATAAGCCCCCGCGAGGGACTTAATAGAGGATTTACGGTACTTCAGAATCTCAAGTGAGTCGGGATGCCAGTCTATTTCAACAAGACCTTGACACTCTATCTTCTTGGGCCACAACTTACTCTTGAAGTTTTTTTTATTTTTTATTTCACTAAATATAACTGTTAATCGCCAGGTCACTTCTCACGTTCCCAGGGCCAGTGCTCGAAACTTCAGCTCTCCAGTCTTGACAATTAGAAATTGACTTTGTCAACTCAGTCCATCAATTGATCATTTATTTGCACTTAACAGAGTAAAGTGTAAAGTCACAGCAATGCAGATTTGTGAAATTATGGGATCGGTAAACTTTACTAAAAAGATCAAAGCCAATTTTAGGAGTATTAGTATGGAGTCATCAGAGTATAACGATAATAATATATCCCCACCAAATTACTTTGACAGGGGGATTTTTTGCAAGGGGGGCTTTTTTCATCCTCTTCTTTCTGGATATACTAAACAACCCCATAACTTTTTGTGTGAGGTAATTAGAGCCCCATTTAAGCCCCATTTACACGGCAGAAAATGTTTGGCGCGACTTGGATGAAAGTGGTACGCGTACCAAAAAAATAGTACTAATTACTTATTTACACGTTCTTTTTTCTACCGTGCTAAACGATGTGAAATTATGATTTGGTACGGGTAAAAGGTTCAACATCTCGGCCAGCGTACTCGATTCTTGCCTAGTGCGCATGCTGCTTCCTCTGTAAAAACATGGCGGACGAAAAGTTCTTAGAATTCCCTTCAGCCGCATGTAGTCTACGCACAAGGAACAAATGGGTGGTCATTGAATATTGGTGCGGTTATTGAATTATTGTGTGGTTATTGAACACACTGAACTAACGAAAAAGTATTTACCACTTAGTTAATGCTACACATTTATATTAAAAAATTCTAACGTATTTGTGGCTATTTCCCCCGCAGCTGCATATTGTCCACGCTCATCAATGAACTAACGTGTGCAGGTCATTGAACTACTGTCGTGTTTATTGCACTTTTGGTTTATATTGAACTAATGAAAAGCTCATCTGTACATGCTCTCCCACATTGGCGCTGAACAAAGGCACGAAGACTCATCAGAGAAAAGTTAGCTCGGCACGGCTAATCGTTTACACTGCACACTTTATCCAAGCTGGGCTAGATTTTCAGGATCGCGTACCAGTTTTATCCGTGCTCGGACTACCTCTCGACATGGTCCGAGCACGGGTGAAATTTTGGTCCGGCACGGATGGGCCAAGGTCGTTTACACGACTAAATCTATCCGTGCCGAACCAATTTTTTTAGTACGCGTACTTTTTTCATCCGAGCCGTGCCAAAAATTTTCGGCCGTGTAAATGGGGCTTAAGTCCCGTGTCGCAGTTTCAGATTGCTGTCTGTTACGGAACTCGGAGCTCAACTGTTTAGTTTTGTGTACACTAACAGGTTGTAGACAAGGAAGTTATCAGGAACCTATAGCAAGCTAGTTAGCAATCTCAGTATGATTGACAAAACGGAATATTTGCATCTTGGTCATCATAAAAGAAGAAATAGATTATGCTAGTTTTCATTACAAACTTGAACGTACTGGGAGTACATAGCGTGAGTAATGGCAGCTGCCAATTCAACAACAGAAGGAAACCAGAAAAGGATCACAGAAATGTACTGCTCGGCAGAATTTATTGGGGATGTCGACAGCGAGCTAATCTTTCTCTCAGTATTAAATAGTTTATTGTCTATTACCGCGTTTTTGGGCAACGCGCTTATCCTAGTCGCTCTTCACAAGGAATCTTCGCTTCATCCTCCATCCAAACTCCTGTATCGTAACCTGGCGATAGCTGATCTCTGTGTTGGTATCATTGCACAGCCTGTAGATGTTGCCAATTGGATGTCTGCGGTGAACGAAGGGTGGACTATCTGTTATCATACAGAATTAACAGCTTTCATTACATCTCATATTTTGTGCTCTGTGTCCCTGTTGACATCGACAGCAATAAGCGTGGACAGACTTCTCGCGCTTTTGCTGATGTTGAAATACAGGCAAGTTGTAACTTTGCGAAGAACATATTTAACTGCCATCGTTGTTTGGGTTTTTTGTATCGTCGCAACATCAAGCTACTTTTTGAATCCAGTAATGGTGCCTTGGTTTATCTACACGGGTATATCTCTGTCTCTAGTTACCTCAATTTTGTCTTACACGAAAATTTTCTGCACTTTACATCGTGACCAAAACCAAGTAGGGGACTTGGGAAACATAAGCTAAGAAATTCCACTGAACATATCTCGATACAGAAATGCAGTGTCCACAGCATTGTGGGTGCAGGTGACACTGGTTGTTTGTTATTTGCCCTATGGTATAACGGTAGCTTTAACGCCTCCAAGAGATTTACCTTCATCGATTTACCTTGCCAGGCAATTTACGGCTACCCTAGTATTCTTTAAGTCAACATTAAACCCACTGCTTTACTGCTGGAAGATCAGAGAAGTAAGGCAAACCGTCAAAGACATCATCAGAAAACATTGCCAGACTTGTTAGTGGGTTTGATATTTTTCGAGCTGTGCGTTTTGTCAATGATTTCCATGCCATGCCATGCAATGCTTGTCATAATTGTATAGTATATTAATAAGATCGTTACATCTATTCAAAGGTACTAGACAGTCATAATCGAAACATTTTTGTTTTTTTCGTTTAAAATATCAATCTTTAATACCTCAGGGTACAATATGTGTAGTACACACTATTTTTTACCGTGTATTTATTATTTAATATGTGGTTTCTTTTCGAGAACCATAAGAAAATGTACAATGATAATCCCCTTCTACGATAAGAGCAGAAATGAAAGATACTCATTACAAACTTTTGTCATTTTTTAGGTTTATCTTACTAAGATATATATTTTCTCATTTTTTGTCTGCACTATTTATCTCTTTTTGATGCGTCTCCTTCAACTTATAAGTTTTGACACCAAGTAAATTATAAATGCTTATTTACTGCACACTTATGATACTGATGATTGTAACATAAAAAATATGCCGAATAAATGCAAGGAGATTATCGCAATAAAAGACACAACTTATGCAGGTGAGAAAAGAAAGCCAGAAAAAATTCAGGCTTTGCCGAGATTCGAACCCTGATCTCTGCAATACCCGCATAGTGCTCTAACCAATCGAGTTAGTAAGCCAACTGCTGGCAGCTGGTCAGTAAATTGGTTCGTAATATACCAGGGAGGGATGAAGATGAAGCGATAATATCAATGACATTCATAATATTCACCGTTTCACAAAAATATAAAGTGTACACTTTCTCTCAAAGAAATAATTTACTAGTGAAAATTTTGCTTTTTAAAACAGTAGTACGAAATTTAATCCTCTGTACACTGAGTTAAACTTCATCGCAGATGAATTGTTAGTTTTTTTCGGTATATTTCACTGAGTCAAAACTTTGCAGTTGCGAAACTACTCTCTCTAATACATACAAAGTAGTTTGTTTGTGAATTCTTAATTAGCACAGGTGGCAGTACTGCAATTGTCAATGCGTATGCTCATTAACATGTGCCGAGCTGAACTTGACTGTCGGGGTCGCCGTCAGCGATTAGTCTGGAGAGTTATTAATAGCTTGGAACAGGAGGGCATTTTGCTTGCTCATGCGTGCGTCCGCTGAAAGACAATAACGTGGGCGTTTCAAATCTGATTGCGGGAAATCGAAAACTCGCGTGAAGTTACAGTTCTTTTAAAAGCCATTTTGTTGTTGTTTTGAATACCGTACTTTCCCACAAAAAATGTTTTCTATGACAAAAATCGGACGTTTTCTACGCAGGTTTTCAGTTGTAGATTTTTCAGCAATAGGTTTTGTTGAACTTTTAAAGACTTTAAAGACTCAACGCCCAAAATCACTGTTCCTGTTCAAGTCTGATTTTCACTGGCAAAGCATTGCATTTCTATGGTTTGATTTCCAAACTCATGGTTTTACTTATCAAGGAAGAAACGCATCGTAGCAATGTTCAGCTGCTTTAAGAAAAGCGAAAATATTTTTACAGCGCGAGGTTTATTTATTTGCGCGATGTCTCATTAAACTGATCGCGGAGACACGCGTTTATATATGCCACAAAAACATGAAATCTATGAGTATTTTTTCTTTACAGTTTTTCGAAAGTTTTCGGGGAAAAAATATATAAAAAATAGTCTACAGGAAAGGAAGAATGGATTGAGTCTGAGACAGCATTAATGCAAAGTGATTATGTACTTCATAATCACTTGAGCATTTCATAAGCTCACTTGCAGACAAAACAAACGCACCCCGTAAAAAAAACAATACTTTTATTTTTCTTTTACTCTAAGAAATACGGAGATTTTTCCTAAGGTACTATTTTGAAGCGACTCTTGAGTAACAGCCCCTCTGTTCCACAATCGATTTCTTATTATTAATTTATATTTGATGACAGTACTCATCCATTCAAAACAGAGAAGGGCCATCACTCCATAAATCTAACTGACGATGTTTATTCACCCTTAAAGCCTGTTAAAACATGACAGGAAGTTTGTTAGAGGGGTGCATATCATGTTTCCTCAAAAAAGAAATACTACTGGTAAAGGAACCAAATGAGTAAGGATGCGAAAACAAACATGACACAAATGGATGGGTGCGCATGCCCTACTGTTACAGCTCTGTAACTCAGAGCAATCCTTCATTCACTGTAAATTAAAAAGATCTGTTTCAGCCCCAAAGTGTCAATTCAGCCCGTCCTGGAGCCATTTGAGCACAATTTAGGCCAAAAAAAGCTCAATCAAAAGGCTATTCCAGCCCACGGTAGGTACCATTTCAGCCCTGGGTACAAATCAGCCCTAGCTAATTGGACTGTATTGGCCCTGATTTAAGGGAGCCAAATCAGACCCAAATATAGGACTGTATTTTACTCACCGAAACGGCCCTGTTTTTAGGGCTAAGCCAGATCTTTCTGATTTAGAGTGTTGACTCCAGCCCAGTGCCTTGCAAATCAAACGGGCGCCTGGGATAGAACTTGGGATTTACCTGACAAATGACGGATGTTTAGGAATCAGTGAAATCCCCCGATTGTTTAGGTTTTTTTTTACATATTGAAAACTCGATCATGGTCTGTGCTACTCTATAGTGACATTTTACGATAAACATGTTAGGTGAGACAACGTGGCATCTACAATGGGATTTCTGTCATCCTTTTTTGTTATTATCTAATAAAGCGATTGTTGATTTGACCTCACTTCCCATTTCATGCAGTTTACGCAGGTCAGCCTATGATTACGAAAAATGAATACAAAGTGTACACCTCGGTTTTTTCCTATCTAATATTCAATATGAATGACAACTGTTAAAAATTAAGACATAAAAACTGAAAGTAGTAGTGTGTAGAGCTTATTACAAAATTGTTCTTCGTTAATTTTCAGAATTCCACAAAATCTCGCCTTGTGTCAGCATCTAACTTGTGAAAGACTATTAGGGATGGTTATTTAAACGAAGTCTAATTTAAACCGCGGTTTAATGAATCTTTAGACCTCCATATCTCTTCATCAGTGAGTCATTTAAAAAGAGAAAAGCTTTTCTCGGGCGTCTACGCTAAATGCATTCATGAAACTGTTCACGATAAATGGTGTTTACATAAAATCGTTGACAAACTGAAAATGGCTTAGAACGCGGTTTTATTAAACACTGGCTAAACTCCGTTTAAAAAACTGGGCCTAAGACTTTTCATTGCCAGATGCATCGGTTTAAAAGTCATTAAAACTGACAGAGCTCAATCTGTAGAAGACGTCCGCTACGTCTAGTCAGTGTAACTGATTCTTCCTGATTTTGAAATCTCAGAATTTTTGGCTTTTGATTGTTTGTTTGTTTTGACGAAAAAAGGAAACCAAATTATAATCTTTCACAAAAGTGCAATTAGGAAACTTAAAAGCATTTTTTTTTCACCAAAGAGAAAAACGCTTTGCTAAGCATTACGGAAATCTTGAGTATGATACATGATAACATAACTCCTTGACAAGGTCCGTGCTAACAAAATCCGTTGTACATCTTGTAAATTGTCATGCTTTTAGCCACCAAACAAAGGATGATGCTTTCGATAGGTAAAGTCAGTGTTTTATATGTCCTCTTTTTCGTTGTGATGTTCGTCTGTTACTTTCATCACCGCTTCCCACCACAGAGTACCTTCGATGGTAAACGTGCGAGTCACTGGTGTTGGGTAGTGGAATACATGTGGCTCGTATGGCTGACACCACCATCTTGCGAAACGATTATACTTATTAACATGACCCCAGCCAGAGGTGGGTCGCCAAATTTTGAAACGGACTTTTATTTCCTTCGCATTTTCAGTAAGTTTAATTTGCTTTCTATTCCCTCTGACTTTCTTTGTAACCTCTTTGTCGTCTTGTATGTAGCTTACAATCATTTGGGATAATGCAGGCAACCACCAACCATTACATATATACATGATAAGTCCACCTCTCTGATTGAATGATTCATGATTTTCAGTCATTTGCGCGCCAACTGCTTCTTGGGTACATTCTGAGTCAGAGTCATCTCCGTTGCCCTCTTTATAGGTCAGATTTTGCAGATCAACATTTTGTTGTGTGAACTTTTTTACAAGCTCAAACGCTTTCTCAATAACAACGTCGTCGGGCTGTAGGGAAAAAATTTCGTCTGGAAGCTCTTCAGCATCATCTGAGAGCTTTTCTGCCAATTCGCCACCTTTTTCAATCAAAACTCTGGTGACTTTTGAGGTTGACGGAACTGGAAGTTGCTCCAACAAGCACCTTGCTTGATCAAACATCGATGGACTCTGTTCGCTAATTTCTTCGACTACTCCCTCAACATTTTCTAGTATTGTTGAAGCCCCTTCGCTCATGTCCCCCACTGCTCCCTCAAGGTCGGATGCTGCTGCTGTAGTTTGAGAACCGAGGTGCATAGCCTTGGCAACACCAGCCCCCACAAGAGTTGCAGCAACGGCTGCGGCACATTGACAAGTTGCGTGACAGACAGCCTGCTTAGTGGTGATCTCGCGGCCATCGATGAAATATTTTTTCGCATCCGTGCCGAGGGATGAAGCAGTAGCACAGCCAGCAGCAATGGCGATTCTAATTCCAGTGAACTCACTAACTGAGAGGGCTGCAGACTTCAAAATAAGGGATGTTGCTATGGCCGCTCCACCCGGAAGAGACGCAAGAAGACATCCAATACCTGTTGACAATAGCCACTGTTTAACATTACACCCATCTAAGACGGCCTCCTTGCTAATGGTCTCACTTAAAGAATTTATCCCACCACTGATAACGCTCAATAACAAAGGACATGAAAACCAGCAGTGAGAACAACTGCCACGATACCCCCAATTGTAAGACCAGCCGATAAAGCAAGTAGGCCCATTCTCTTCTTCCACGCCAGACTTTGAGCCATAGTCTCGCACTCAGGCCAAAACACAGCTTTGAATCGTTTCCTGACAGCCACCCTTTGTCGTAGTCCGCCAAGTTGTTGTACCGCGCACGTTTTTCTCGATCTTGTAAAGTGCCGTATGCCCAGATCAACTCACGGACAACTTCATCATCGCCATCTTCATTATGATCGGGGTGCCATATTTGTAACTCTCTAAGGAACGCCCTTGTAATTTCTTTATCCTGTTCGCCTCTAGACATCGCTCGAACTTCATCCTCGTCAAGCCTCAAAATGCCGTAAAGATTGCGTTGCCCGTCAGTAAATTCTAGCTCTTTATCTCTGTTCCATTTTCGGAGGCCCTCTTTCTCTAATTCTGGATAAAAAGAAAGGTCATCCTCGATTACGTCTAAAGATTCCGTGATCTTTACATATCTTTTTTTCCCAACCCACTGCTGCGGTTTTAAAAGAACTTTTTTCGGTTTCTTTCTTCCTTGGAACAGCGCAACTAATTCGAGCTTGTGCTGCCATTCGGTGGTATAAAAGAACTTCTCATTTGGCTTGAATACCCTTGATGTATGTGGCATGTAACACACAAGATCTCCACGAAAATAGAGCTTGAGTTTGAGATAAGCCTCGCTTGACTCGTTAACGACTAGCAATGATCGTTGTTTCCCTTTCATACCTGTTTAATATATGCGTGTGCTAGCAGTTAATGAATGCACAAATGTTTACTGACAATGCGACGCCAACTTCTGTCTTAGTTGATTGCACAGAGCAATGCGAATAACGAAAATGAAACCTCCTCTAATGCATTATTAAATTTCGGGGAATTTGAGACCACTACTGGCTCACGTTTGATGCTAGTAGTTCTTGTGGTTTAACCCGAATTATTTCCGGGAAATTTCCTACATTATGAAGATCAAGTGGCTAAATTTAAGTAACTGTGTCAAAGATGGATTCAATAAAAATTTTTTTTTCTGACATTCATTTTACACGCCCCATGTTCTTCAGTATGTCGATACTTTAAAGTCCTGGGCGTGTACAGTATCTACCAGTGGCTAAAATCCAGGGCGTAAGAAGCTGGGGCGTTGAAACGCTCATTCACGCTCTCTGGGTCAGCTGCGATGTGGAGTAGGACTCGAACTAGTTCGCTTTTCCGCTCTCGATCCGCTGTCGGGGAAGAAAAATGGCACCGTCTAGCTGGAGGTAGGTTCGGATTTATTGCTTTTAGATTTGATATTTGGCCTATTTCTGTGCGATATACAGAAAATATTTAGGTGATATTTTATAGTTAGTCTTATAAGTTAAGGTGTTTTTCTCCTTTTATGTTTATGTAGTGTCAAAATGGCCCATCGAATATTACAGGTTGAAGGTCGCGTTTTATCTTGCCAGTCAAAACCAAATGATAATAAGCAGCTACAAAAAAAAATATGTAATGGTTTTGTAAATTTTGTTTATGCATGCAAATTTTTCGAGTGAACTTTTATGAACCTTTAAGGTTTTTTTACTTCTTAAGTGACGACTTCATTATGGCGATAGCAAGGTTTTTGTTTTGTACGTTGGCGTTTAGCTTGTTAGTAAAATAAAAGATTTCAGTTGCCCAATTTAGCGATTTTTCTTTTTTTAATATACACTAAGATGGTAAATAATTTTTTTAAGTTACAGAACCGCGATCCAAGAAGGTTCTGACTATTTTGAAAGCTCTACTAGAAAATTGCTTTCGAATGATCTCGTGTGGCAGTCTTTACATAAACAACAACAAATTCTGCTTTACTGCGGTATAAATCTCAAAGGTTGTATTGCACAGAAACAGAATGAAGCCTATGGAGTAATTTGCTTTCAAATCCCCACAAAGATTCCACTGTAAAATTAAATCATAGAATGTGTTGTTATTATAATTTTTTGCAGGACAACAGTGAGTGCCCGGCCTGAAAAGACTTCTAGAACACACACTGAAAGATAAACGAGTTCATAATACAGTGAATATGAAGAAGAACAAGAAGAGGTCTTAATTTTATTGCAAGTAGAATAAATTAAGACTGTGTAGCATTGTATTTTTGTCGTCAGAGGCCAAAGTGTGGTGTTGCACAAACTACTGTCAGCTCTCAGATGGAAACTATTGGGACTGGCACAAAATGTCTGTATTAATGGACAGGTGTAACTCTTATGGAGAGTAAAAGAAAATGACCGAAGAATAGTAGGGACCAACTCGATTTCCTGGAGGTACCTTATCTTTTGATTGTACTTCTGTATAATATTTCTAGCAGTATATCCTCTCTCTTCAATATTATATGTTGTAGTTACAAGGAAACAGGAAAGTATTTTTTGAATCAAGTTTCATTAAGCCTGAAAAATAAATATTGAAAATCAAGCTCTTTTAGTTACCGTACCTTATTTTACTGGTTAGCTCGCTTCTACAATGCTTTGGAGCTTTTTACTAATTTTATAGTTGAGAGCACACTGCATTAACCCATAATTATTGGGCTGCCTGTGCGCCCAGTCATAAAATGGGCTTTCGGTCGTCTGCGGCGAAAAACGGCCTCCCGGGGGAGGGAAGACACGAGGGTCTGGTACCGAGAAACGATGTTCTCACAAATGGTTTCATATGATTTTCTCTTGCACGAACCCTTGCACGGATACTTTTTGTACCTCGTCTGCGCTCCCCCTGAAAAACCCACAAAGCGTTGCGAACCTGAAGAAGGCTATTTGCGTTGTCGAAGCGATTCGATCATGGGAGTCACTCTATAATTTTTTTTATTGTTCGAGTTTAAGTCAGTTAGATGATGTTGGCGCTGGGAAACTCAGAGAAATGCTCGCGTTGCATTCAAACCGACACGCCGTTTACGGTAGGTTCACACTAAAAAGATGACTCTGAGCGTCACGTTTGGAACGCCGTGACCGCTTTGTGAACTCAAAAGAGAATTATCGATCGATGTAGTACATGAGCAATTAAATAGCACAATTTATGAGCAAGGTATTTCACCAGTTGACGACACTATGGCTGAAGACTTGATTGTAAGCCTTCGTAGTCAGTGAAGCGAACAACTCAGTTGCCGATGAATGGCACTACGCACGTCCATGAGCGAAGACTGAGCGAGGGACGTGACAACTTTGCCATGTTAGAAGACTGGCTTTTCCTTTAAATATTTCCTTCTATTTGATGCAACACACGCCACTTTGGAGGTCTAAATTTCGGATACTGAGGATAAAGAAGACACGGACAAAAATAGAGACTCTGAGAATTTCAGACACAAGTTTAAAGCTTCACCGGGACATCCCATCCGCGAGCTTCACAGAGAGCGACTTGAGGAAAATAGGAGCTATTACTGACAAGGTTTGGTGACTGAGTAGAGCATACAAGTGTAGCCCACGTCGAGGTTTCAGGGGTTTGCTTTTGTTTGTATTTGTATCTTACTAAGCTTTTTATCATTAAATTTGTACATGATCTTGTGATAACAATTCTGTGTTTTCGCCCATTCAGCAGGCGGGTTTTGCTAAAAGCAGGCCCGCGGCCCAGCGGCCCGCGGCCCGGCGGCCCAGCGGCCCGGCGGCCCAGTAGCCCGGTGGCCCAGTCCTGATTTTCCAGTTTTTTTGTCCAGTGGTAAATCCACGCGCATACAATGGACGACGGTGAGTTTGAATTCGTTTACCATTTAATCATTTGAATCCTTGTTTCTGTCTGTTGCATGTTGTTCAGATAAAAACGTTTTCATTCTCTGTTCATTCGTCTCTTTACAGAAACCGATAGCACAATAGAAGACTTTCATTATAGAACGATGTGTTATTTTCAAACCATACTTTGAAAGTGAAAATATCATAAGTAATGAGATATGTGAACTGCGAATCGTTCTCTATACAGAGACATGTCGGTCTGTTTACAGGAACCCCACCCCAAAAGAAGAGCAGGGCAGAGTTTTTCAAACTGTAGTTTGAAAATAACTTAGATCGTTTGAGAATGGACTTCCTCTCTATCGGGTTCTGTAAACAGACGAATAAACAGAGAATGACAACGTTTTCACTTAGCAACATGCAACGAAAGAAAGGGTCGAATTGGATTGAAATGATTATTAAAATGGTAAACGAATTCAAACTCACTGTTGTCCATTTGGCACGCCCAAACCCGATGCAGATCTGTGCATGTGCGTGGATTTACCGCTGGACAAAAGACTGTGGAAAATCAGGACTGGGCCACCGGGCCGCTGGGTCGCCGGGCCGCTGGGCTGCTGGGCCGTCGCGGGCCGTGGGCCGCGGGCCGCTGGGCCGCGGGCCTGCTTTTAGCAAAACCCTTCAGCAGGCACGCTATATTGATGTCAGCATTAGCGAGTTTCAGAAACATGCCTTTGAAAGTTTTCAGCTCTCGTGATGTTTCTTGATATTTCTTTTACCATTTTATGGAGATGTAAACTGAAGTCACCGCAAAATGGAAACTTAAAAAAGCGTATAATCCATTTATCTCGAAACATAACACACATCACTTATACGACCTTTATTTTCGTAAAGGTGTTTTGAATATGAACGAACACAGTCAATGTGAGGGGTAAAAACAGCATTAATATAAATGAACCATAGGGTTTTACTAATATAAGGGTCAATTATTGTGCATTGAGATGAATCGCTTGAAAAGAGAGACTTCGCTTGAAGATGTGATCAGAAGTAAACAAAGGCATAATAGTGCGTCACGTTCAGTCTTTTTAATATCCAAGGAGTCACTGTGAATAGTGTTAGGGGCACCTAACGAGAATATAGTTAAAAACCACTCAACATAGCATTGTTAAACGTATTTTAGTATTTAAACGGTAGATTTAGGCATAATTTCATCCCCTAAACATTTTTTATCTGTTCGAATTTCCTAGCTGAAAGTCTAGTGATCCGAAAATTATAGGGATCAAAACTTACCTTTTCGAAAATTTCAGCCAGAAAAATGGCTCCCGAAAATTCTAGGTGACCTTTTAGGGTAAAAATCCGTAAGAATGGGCAATTATACCATTTTTTAGCTGTTCGAAAATCCTAGGAGAGGCAGGC